GGAAGTCTTTTTGGCTCAGAGAGCTAAAACAAGAAAAAGGCATAAATTATTCGGCTACCCATAACAGAAAAAAGTGAAAACACAAACAACTCCAAATCTTAACAAGAACGACCTGAATCTTTACCGTGGTACAAGCCTTTTGCTAATCGTAACTATGTTTTAGGCAAAATAACAATTTCTTTATCACTTCAATGCTATGCAGGAACAGGGCCTAAGCAACAGTTTTCCAGTTCATATAAACAGCAATTTCGTACCTTCACCACAGCAATTTGACCACCAGGTCCAGCTATAGGATACGCAACTAAATCAAAGTAAGCTTGGAGGCCATCACTTTCATGACAGAGTGACTGATCGTAGTTCTTCAGGTTCTCGATGTTCTGCGACTTAGTGCTAGGTTTGCCACTCAGATGCTTGAATTTCGAGACCCTGAACCCGTGGAATTTTGAGACTTTGGGCTTGTGCTCTACAATGGAAAACAAACAAGGCAGGGGTAAATTATAATCAAATATCCCTTTTGTATATCCTCGGATGTCCTACCAAGCCTAATATTGAAATGGTTCCCATAAACGCCATTTTTCCTATACTCCCCAAAGCCAAGATGCGATCAAACTTTTCAAAAGAGGTCTAAGCTTTAGATTGCCTGATTTCCATGGCAAACGGGATCGCGTGGTTGGGAAATTACACTATCGAGCAATAAACATCACTCTAGTTTGTCTTATATGTGTCCACCATAACATATAATAAAGAATAAAAAATACTTCACCTCTGCAATTAATGTCATGTATATTTATAATTGACTCATAACAACACTTCAGCTTACCAGCGGGCTTTGGTGTTGGCTCATTAGAAATTTTTGAAGGTGCTGGCACAGCCTTCGTTGAATCCTCCTTCGGAGCTTCAACTTTCTTTGGCGGGTCCTCAGCTTTGTTGACAACTTCAGGCACCTGTGCCGTTTTTGTCTCAGCTTCTTCTTGCGATTTTTCCTGAAATTTCCGTTTTCAAGATAATTTAAAAACTGCATTTATTCCGTTAAGAGAAAAGCAAAAAAAAGATCACAAACGCAATTTCGTCAGCAAACAATTTTTATGCTTTCAGGCAAAATTTGTTTTAAGGACGATTTACGTCCAAACAGACATTATTTTTATAGCTGTACGTAAAACATAAAATTTTGCCAGTGCACCAAGTCAGGTCGGCGCAACTCTACTGAAACTGTCCGGAGAAAAATGTTTGAGATGAGCCATTTACTGGAAAAGGATAATGTTTGATAACGAAAGGATAACGAAACTGGGAATATGTGGATATTGAAGAAAAATCGCATGTCTATCTTAAAATAAATTCATGGAAAATAAACATAACTTTCTCTTGTTTTAAAATTGCATTGCCTCTACACAACTGAATTTAGTTTGGGCCCAAAACATGACTTATTCACAAATGATAAAAATTTCATGATATGTAATACAAAAATTTTAAAAAGATCAGGGGTTAAACGATGTTTCGAGCACAAACATGCAATTAGCCTCTCGGAATTTCCATAGCATCATTTTTCTGAATTAAAAAATATTATCGTAATTACTCACTTCTGTTTTGGATGGCTCAGCCTTCACGCCAGCTGCTTTAGGTAGCGACCTTTTCGCCACGTTTTTTGGATCCAATTTAACCAGTGAGACCTAAAAATGAAAACCCTGTTTAATAATATTTAAATAAGCAGATCAGAAGCCGGAAAATCTGTTTTGTCTGACGAGCATGTGAATATTGTTTACAACGAGATTCTGCTCAAACAGTGGGGCATTTAATTCCGCCAATGAAATTTTGCATTGCCTTGTGATAAAACAGTGGTAATTTAAGAACATTAAGAGTTGTACCAAAGAAAATTAATGACAGTAGTGAGGCTTACACAGAAATTAGCAGAAGCAGATTAAATAAATATCACATTATACACACTGGGATTAAAATGGAAAAAGTTTGGGTTGAAAGAGAAATCAACAAAAATTAAAGGATAATGAATATAGAATGGTTCTTGATATGCCATAATCGCCATGAGCAGCCAGGACAGCTTTGTTTCAATTTGACAAAATGGGGAACTAAAGTACGGTAGGAGGGTGCATCATTACCGGGTGATTGGCACCAGCAAACCATTGCTCGGCTGTCATAGAAGGCACACCAGAGGCCGTATCGGGGTACAATTCCGCATGGAAATCGAGGTAGGACTGAAAAAAAGTCGATCAATGAAATAAGAAATCAGGCCGAGACAAAAAAGAGGCGATATAATTAAATTAAAAAGTGCAGCCCAATCCTTAGCAACTGATACATCTAGCCACTCTTTGAACAGTTGACAGTTGAGCGTATTAAGCGTGAAACGCGGAGTTGCAACTTCGAACTGTCTTTTTCTGCACACCAAAAGCGTATACTATACGGCGAGTAAAGCTGTGCCCAGAAGGCATCGAGTACTATATGACAGAAAAAAACAGTTTTTATTAGTCATTCTCTTTAGGCATTTCTTGTTCCAAAAGTAGACGGTATTTTGCAATGCACGAGGAAAACCATACTTAGATGCTGCACTATGCTGCATTGAATATACATACTCTTCTAGGAAGCACGTTAAGATGACGACATGATTCTAATAAGATGATAAGTCAAGTTTCGTTGCAGCACCTACCCTTCTAGGTACAACGAAACTGATCGGAATAATTGCGTTCTTTGTCAGCTGCATCAATCTGTTCACCTCTGCTTCCATTAGGTGAAGTGCTCTCTTAGGAACCCTTGCCATGCCTATTGTTTGTGTATCCAAGCTGTCTGATGACGCTGGAAAATATATAAAATACGCTTGTATCATTGCCATAAGATAAGAAAAGCTAGCTCAACAACCAAATCACAAACAACTTCGTTTTTTCCTTATAACTGCTTGACTTCGTTTCAGCCACTGCTAATCATTTTCCGTAATGAAAGTGATATATAACTCTGGGTTTTCAAAACCTTGGTTCGCAACTCGACGCAGCTTCATACAAATCAACCTGCTAAAAAGTGGCTTACTGACAGCTAAAGTTTCTCTAAAAACATTGATCTCAGGAATAAAGTTTATTTGTTAAAAATATCTTATCATCCATAGTTTTAGACGAGTTTTAGATGCATCGCATTTCCAATTCTTGCACAAAGAAACATGTTCATACTTACAACGCGTAAGGCCTTTAGCTTCTGATGTAACTTCGTAGAAATTTATTATATTGTCTCCCTGGTCAAAAAGAAAAAATTCTTAACAATTCTTGCATTAGTGTCATCTAGCATATCTCTGAGGCAGCCATTTTTTCATTTCAAACAAGGACTCTTTTACAATGACCTACATCAAAAGATGGACCAAAATGATAGCTTATTGTCAAACAGATTCATGGAAACAAGAGAGATAAAGAACATGCTGCAAGTGGATCGATAGTTAGACAACGATAAAAAATTCAACAAGATAAGAGTTGCTTTTGCTTAACTTAGTAAAACTTCAAAACAGAACCTTCACTTTGAATTTTAAGAGTCATCTTTAACGCTAGGATTCCGTATTAACATACGAAGAATATGAACAATTCTTTTGCGGTACAGAATTTGAAAATGGCTTTGAAAAAAGCAAACATTTTACAACATACTAAAAGCTTTAAAATACTAAAAACTCAAAACGATCTTCTTGGACAACGGCTATCCTGAAGACGTCATTTTATCTTATACTAAGGAGAAGATCGCAAGTTTTTCGGCTGTTCAAAAGTTTGGTCCGCAAAAGTGCCCAGTTTATTTGAAACTACCATGGATTGGTAACACTTCCTTGCGATTCGAGAGTCAGATTAGGCAAGCCATAACCAATTGTTTCTTTGCTGTCAATCCTCGGATTATTTACAGCACTAGGAGAGCTCTTCCATCCATTCAAAAGGATTGCGTTCCTACCAAACAAAAAAGTTCCGTCATTTATGAATTTACGTGCCAGTGTGATTCTGGCTACGTAGGGCGCACAACCCAAAGATTGGGGGATAGGATAAAACAGCATGTTCCTTCCAACATACGAAACAAAACTGCCCCTCAAAGAGAACAGCCTCCTTGATCTTGTAGGTCTAGAAAAACTGTTAAAACAAGTGATTCTGCCATTGGTCAACATCTTTTAGACAACCCAGATTGTGCAAAACTCTATAATGACGACATGTTTCGGATAATTGGCAGAGCCCGGTCGTCCTTCCATCTAGCAGTTTTGGAGTCAATCTACATAAAAACGAAAAAGGAGTTCGTTTTCTCTCTTGGACTCCATTGGTAATTTTTCTTTAGGCTCGCGGCACTGATTGGTCAACTATACCGGTCTTGTGCTTGCGTTTTTCTGATTGGCCTATTTCGATCCACAACTGGGTATATAATTTTCCATCGTGTTTTTTCGGAACCTATTCTGACGTTTTATGCTCTGAGGAGTGTCAGACGGAAAAGCTTTTAGTATGTTGTAAAATGTTTGCTTTTTTCAAAGCCATATACGAAGAATAGATATTCATACATTAAAAGCAAAAAATATAAAAAGAAGGTACAAACCATGCATAATATGTAATATACGAGGAAGTTATTTAATCAACACATTAAAATAAGCATAACTAGAAAAAGTTTCGGTTAGATTAAAAAGCTTATCAAAACACTGTCACTTGCTGAATCAGTCAACACCAAGTGGCGTCTTCTCTTTTACTGGAGTCTTTAGAGCGTCAGAGTTTAAATTTTTGCTACAAATTCTGATATAAGAATTACAAATATACGAGACAAATGAAAACTGAGCTGATACCTTGCCAGCAAGTAGCAGCATGTTTGTATCGACGTCATAAAAAGGCATCAGAATCCTAAGGGTATAGAGGAACAAAATGAAAAACACCTTTCTACTGTATAACAGAATCTAATTCATCAATAATAGGGATTAACTGGAAATGACTGGCTAATCACTCCTGAGAAAGTTTTTTGCTAAGCTAGAAAGCATTTTTGTGAAACATGGACACTGAAAATTATGTTTTACAAATTATGGCATTATACCAATAAGCAGTGAGCTTAGAAACATCCTGTTTTACAAACCAATGCGTACAAAATAAAGGGTATAATCTGAAATGATAGAAGGTGAAGCGATGACAATACGAATTAAACCTCTACTTCTCTCTATCACAAGCAAAGCTTTCATATATTTCAGCTATAATTTTGAAATCTTAAATTGAGAATTTCAGGAATGGAAAATTTTGATTCTGTTCATTTTTCCTTTATTATGACAAGAATTGTCAAGTGAATTAAGTGAGACAATGTTACATTCCTAACCCAAAAATTACTAAAATGAAGAAATAACAAGTGATCATTGAAATGAAAGGGTTATTATCTCCCTAAACGCCATTTGGTGTATAAAACAAGTCGTAATCCGAGTTTCACGTTTGATGCGATTATTAGGCAACTGTTGTCTCCCTCTTTCTCCCTACAAATTGTATTTCTTCTCAAAGCCAACAATGATCGTTGAAATTCCTGGGGTCATGCAAATTTTATTGTTGTTGCTATTGTCGCTGCTTTAGTTTGCGTAATAATTTAAAAATAGCATACCCGGCGTTGTTATCAACTACTTCTTCTGCGACAGATGAAGTAAACATTCGTGTATCCCATATGCCAATTAACCGTTGTCTAGTCTGTGAAAAAGGAGTAAGGATTGCAGAAGATAAGGGTGAAGTTGTAAATGAGTTCAAATTTTAATAAAAAAACATGGTTCTGTTGTATCCTTTTTTGCTTTTGGGGTAGAATTAAGAGTAAGAAATGATTGAACAGAACTCTAGTCCAACTGGAATTCCAAGACAGGCATAAACTGTTGTATCTACATTTGTGACATTTGTGTTTGTTGTAGGTCGATATCATTCAGGAGCAATCATAATTGCTAGAGCCATACCTTGCCAAACCCAGTGGATAGGATGCAGTCAGTGTTTCCAAGCCAAACAGCTTTAGAATCCTTGACTCCTTCATGTCCTTTTGCTTCCTATTCATAAAAAGAAAACAGATTTATTGAATTGCTTCTGCTCAATGCTATATTGAAAATGCATCAACTTGAAATTGGTGCGACTCTGCGTGGAAATCAACACTGTTTAAGGTGTCATAGAACTTAGCTGCATACAAAAACAAGATACATACGGCTGATATTGATGAATTCCGTGGGTCGATTATTCTTAAATTGGTATCCTAAAAGTAATAAATTGAAAGATCAAACATATTAGACACAATGGTGTAATCTTTGCCAAACATTAAACTGAAGTGAAAATGTATAACATCATTCTCTAAGCCTTGACAATGATAAAACTTATACATAGTATGTTATACATAGGCCAGGTTTCAGGAATAGGCTTTTCTAAGGCTGGGAGGTACTTCTATGTATCATTGCAAATGTTTATTATGGCCTATCTTCGGAACTGGATAATCTAAATGAAGAATAGAGACACATATTGTCATAATTAACAACCTTATCTTCTCTTAACAAGAACATCTCGAAGTCAGTAGTTGGGCGTTGAACTTAATCAACAGGGGATCTTAGTTAAAGGAAGGTCCTATTCCGAAATGTATGCTAAAATCGAACGGATAAAATCGTGTCAACGCCAAATAGCCTCTGAAACAATCAACTGAATTAAAAAATTAGAAAATCAAAATTGTATGGCAATGTTCACCACCTGTCTATACGTAATGGGACAAAATAGAGAAGTTTGGTTGCGAGGCCCTCCTTGGTAGCACTTGGTGGCATTGTATATAGGAATGTTCATATCGTGATTAACAGTGAACAAGTTTTGGTCTAGGCAATTATCTGACCCTTTTAATGTACAGCCAAGGCAAAAAGCAAAATATTTTGGTCACTGTGAAGGTGGGAAGTACAAAAAGAATACGGGATAGTAAATAAAGGAAGAATATAAAGTGGTATAAAAAATTAGCAAACATCATAAATTAACATATTAGATAAACATGTTAGGTGATGAAGGCGAAAAAACAACCTTGCAGCTTGTAACGAGGAGACTTCCGTCCATTTTCCAGTCCATGCTTTGGAAAGGAAGATCATCTGCCATGTTTTTAATATCTGTGAAAAGAGGGATTGGTATCTACCATAAGCAAAAATAAAATTTTCGTATAAAGTTTCGTATAAAGTTTCGTATAAAGTATAAACTTTCGTATAAAAAAAATTAAGAAGCAAAATTAGCCGCACTTTTGAAAGACTTTGAAACAATAATTCGTTTATGAGTGCACTTATTGATATGGGACTTGGGGATTCATCTTTTGAAACCCTTGAGAATCAGTTGCTAAGATATCAAACTAGACAGTTCTTTCTGTGATATTTTTGCAAATGCTTTATTGACTTGGGAAGATATAAGAAGTTTTTCAAAATATTGATATATCGCAGTGAATCATGTTGGAAGGTTGTGTTTTCGTAAAACCTATCCATGAAACTGGGTAACATCAATTGCATCAAAATTCTGGGACAAGGTATCAAGATTAAGAAACAAAGTAATGATAAAAAATGTAAGAACAGGTTACTCTGTTTTTAGAGTTTTCTTAGAATGAGCATATCTTGGTTAGATTTGTTATTGGTCAATATCATGAGATCAGGTATTTTCAGGACACCTGTGACATGTTTTTGGCATATTTTTTATGAGAAAGGTTTAGGGTAAAAAGGGATTCTGCACACCCCATCACTTTCCTAGTCTAGTGCCCCCAAGCATTAAAGATACCTTCTCTGACATTTATATCCATTCCCTCATTACCACTTATGAATTACTTGCTGATAAAAGCAACCAAAGATTTGAGACAATCAGAAACTTACCATAATGTAGATTACATCCAACTAGATCATAAATTTTTACTGAATGATTTGATGTTACGGCCAGGACCTGGGTTAGAAAACGAAATTACAAAGTTGGCACATATAAATCAGAACAAATGCTATATATATATATATATAAATTAGGTCAACATTTTTTAGTGGTACAAAACACCATGTATAAAAATTAAACAATACACAAATATTAAAAAGATATCATAAAACTGTACTAGTTTAAGCATTCTCCTGAATATAGTAAGCTGGGGCAAGTTGACCCTGGGTGGATTGCAGTTTCGAGTGAATGAAACTTGGTATACAGCAAAATAAAGAAAAAGTCTAAAGCACGGCATTTCAATATTTTTAAAAACAAACAAAGCGATTACCACACTGACATAGACTAAACAGCATGTTGTCACTGCAGAAGTGTCAGCAGGATGATAAAAGCATAGCTTATTTCACTAACAATATGCTGTAAATGACGCTAATAACCAGGGGGCTATTTTACGTCACCTTCTCACAATAATTAAAATGTCCACTATCAACTTACATTCTCAGCTGCCGGGTGGAACAAAACATTGTCAATTCTATGCTGAAAAATAAAAAGAATGATAAAAGTTTTGAAGAAAAAAACCTTCACTGAGATAGGCACTATTTAAAAAAAGGGCTGAAAAGGCATTATCAGAGATATGTACCTATATAAACTTATATATCTTTACAGAAACAATAAAAGTATTTTTATAACTTCCATTCATAGAAATAGTAGAAATAAATCTAGCCGATTGGAATTTTCATTAATACAAAAAAACATATAAATTTTCATGGACAAAAAAGACATAAATTCATGGAAGAAAAAATCAAATTTTTATCCATACTGTTGAAGATGGTAAATGAAGTGCTGGGTTGTTCAATATTTCATCAAGGCCTGTATCAGGAATCTTCCAAAGTTTTATCTGAAAAAGAATGTAAAATAATAATCCATTTTCTACTTGGTGAATGAGTCCTAGGCTTTAAACGGGAATCAGGCTTCTAGTCAAAACAAAATATTGTGTTAATCAAATTTCTAATCTGACTTCATAAGTTTTTAAAATCCTTATGAAATGAAGGCTTATCCCTGCTGGTTGTTGCTATTAGGTTCGTGTTTGCTTTGGTGGAGCAATGCAGAATTCTAGTGCGGTTTTAAATACATAATCCTGCTTTGCTTGACTATGTTTTTACAGAATGTTATGTTTTAGATTGAAGAAAATAACCAGATCAAATTCCTGCTTTCATATGCCTACAATATATAATATCCTGAAATTAAATAATGACCTGATAGCTCAACAATTTAGCCTTCTTAGCAATCATATTCAAATGAGTTTGTTACAAAAATCAATTACAAATCAGAGCTAGAATGAAAGAACAAAAATAAATTAAATTCTAACTTTAAGCTTCTTGGAGAATATATTTTCATAACCAAAACAAAAATGGAATTTTAAACATTAAAAAAATATTGTGCAAAGCAATTGGTGGACAACAAAAAACTTCATACTTCTCCATCAAAAGCCCCAGTCGCGAGAAGACAATCATCAAATGGTGAGAAGCACATGTCAGACACAAAGTCTAAAACAGAAATACAATCTTTGGAATTTACAAGTTTACAAAAGGATGCAAAACTGTATATAACTTTATATCAGAACAGGCTAGGGACAGGGTTAGCAGCATGTAACTTTTGGAGGCTACCTGTATCCTCTTTTAGCATAAGAGTTATCTACTTCTTTGCAAGGCCTAGTCAAAGGAACTGAACATCGGACTGAGCAACACATAGCATTTGCAAATCCTACACAGCTCTGCACAGTACAGGGTGGCCTAATGAACTGAACATTGCCGCCAACAATTCTATGAACAAAGAATGTGAGTGCTTCTGCAATGAGAAATGGAAAATTTTACATCAAGATTTTGCAAATCAAAAGGCCTGCTAAATTTCAACAAAAACTCTCAAAATATTTTGGCATGAAATTTGAATGCATAGTGCGAGTTTGGCATGCGTGAGTTGAGCAAAGTTCAGTTGGGTTGTTAAAGGAACTCAGCATCACTCAACAACACCTCGAACCAAAGAAATGCTTAATGACTCTCCTAACAGTTTTTAATGCCATCAAAACTGCTGAGCAGGCCTGACTAGGACTGAGAAGGACTGAGCAGGACTAAGCAGTACTGAGCAAATTTTAAAAAAAGTGGTCAAATGAACTGAACTTTCACTGAGCAGGCATGTTGATTGTTGCTTAGTGAAATCTTCAGTTTGTCTGACCAGGGCTTAACTTAATTCTCAAATAGTTGTTGAGTTGGAAAGAATCATTAATGATACTTCAATTAATTATGCAATTTAATTCATCCATGGGTAACTATTCATCCATGTATTTATATTTGTTTCTACCAAGCATCCAAAGGTAGTTTTTATGACACTGAGAACCTTATGCTTATCAAGCAGTTTCCTGGTCCTTCCTCTCGATGTGACCACACATTATGAGATTCCTATGCCTTGAATTACAGAGAGCTGGCGACTTTCCTGACTCTGGGTGGAAGTTTAGTCATTCCAGGGACTCAAACCACGGACCCTTGATGTGACTATTCTATTTCAGTTGTTTAGCAGCTGTTGAAATTGGCACAGAATTATGATGTCATGAGTGAGCCAAGACTAAATTCTGGCATGTGAAAATGCTTCCATCATCCACAAGATGAAATGTCAATTTTAAACCCCTGGCCTTATCACTTAAATCAGCACTATGAGGAAATTTCTTTGCTATTTTCGTTGTTTAAAAATTGTTTCACATTTGCTGAATCTAGATTGTTTACTTAGACCTAAACATTGCGAGGCAACTTTATTCTACATAAAATTAGGAACCACAGAATCAATATCCAATAGTGCTGTCCCATCTTTACTGAGACAAAGATATGATACAAAATTAAAGTAAAGGACTGGCATTTCCATATATATCACTTGTTCAGCCCACATCTACACCCTCTAAACATTTTGTATCTAAACCCATTGGGTGCACTCAAACAGTGTGAAAAGAAAAGACAGATTCTAAAACTTCCAATATTCTTGCTAGATTCTGAGTAATAAGAATGAGAATTGATACATGCCTTCATTTCTGTAAAGTTTAGAATTATTTGAAACTTACAAGTGAAAAGAAAAATCACTCAAAGGCTTGAAAAATAAAACAATAGCAGACTTACCAGCATGTCCATGAATGATTGGCATGGAACTCCGATTCTGTCTACCATAATCTTCCAGACCAACAATTCCAATGCCATGACCACCTTAAGATAATTGATTTTATGTTGAAATATAGATAAGTCTGACTTATACAAGCTAGACAGAAAAATTCAGAGAAATTAATAATGTTTTGAAGGCACTGAATTAAGTTATATAAGCAACAAATTGATATACTACTTAAAGTGGTGACTTCATGTGAGTCTTGGTATTTTAGATGACATGAAATTCTTTGCTGGTACACAAAAATGTTTTGAGGCAAAAGAAATAGACACGAGATAAAACTAATGACTTCATGGTCGCATCAACACATAGCAAAAATCATACATACTTTCAAACCCAGTGTTCATGCATCAATCATAACAGAAAAACCTCCTTTCAAAACGAACTACCTACCTCCAAGTTCACAGTTGAATCCAACAAATTTACAGCTAGCAGCAATATGATTGCCGCAAGAATTCATAAGTGTTCCAACAGGCACATCAGTGAAACAATGCTAAAATTAGGTATGTCATTTATCATTTACCATTCAGCATCAACATTGTTAAAAGGACAGGAAATAAAGATTTTGAAATATGCTTAAAGTAATAATATCATGTACATCAGTTAACTATTAAGACTTCAGCATCATAATTGTCGCATTTATCTTAGTTTGTCAGAAATGTTGCTAATTTTGCATACAAAAAATGCCTCCTTTATGATCAATTAAAAATATTGTTCAAGAATTATTCCTTTAAAAATCTTGAAACTTTTGTGTACCTCTCTCTTTGGAATCTTTGGAGCTGCATTCTTATACTTGGATACTTTAAACCGAAACATTCTGACTGACTGTAAACTTGATGAAGTCAAACAAGGGGTACAAGTTCCTCTTCCGTTTGCTTCTCGAAAGACTCAACTTCCTTCGGCTTGCTTGTTTTGACGAGGCTGGACTCGATTTCATATTCATCCATTTGGCGCCAAAATTTAGGCCAGTGTTTCGAATGAAAAACGCTTGGAGAAAAACTGTTAAAGTGGAGTCTTAGAGAAACAAATTATACAATTATCCGCGTTAGTAAGCTTTCTGTACTCTTCTTTTATAGTTAATTTTTTTATGAATCACGAGACTTGCGTTGCGAAATACACCCCTTAGAAACATCTCAAGCTCCTGCAGAATTTATTCAGAACAGGATTATTATTTCATTGAATTCAATCAATCCAGAATGTCTACTGACGCTATTAGCGATCATAAAAAAGTTTTCAACTTTTCAGAATTACTTTGTTTTGATACTTAATCACAATCGTAACCGTGGTTTCTTTTTCACTTTTCCTTACTATAAATGATGAAAATTAATCTCACTTTCAGAATATGAGTTTGTGGATTGACAAACATAGGCCAACGTCACTTGCAAAACTAAGTTATCATCTAGAACAAGCCAAGCATTTGAAGAAATTGGTAAGTTGTTCAAATCCTAGCTTGCTTCATTAAGCACTGAGAACATTTTGCACTTTAAAAACCTAATAAACGAGTTGATTAGATTTACCACCAACCACGTAGCTGTAGATGTCAGCTGGGGTGGGAAAACTCCCGAGCTCGAGCAAGATCCATACCTGAGAGGGGGGAGCATTTAAAAAAGAAAGCAGATATATAATGAAAAGATATATTTGGACTAAATCAAGCTTACTAAGGTTACAAAGGAACTATGAGTCAAAAACAGAACAATGAATCAATCACAAAATATTAGAAAGCTGTGAAGTTTCTGTAGCCACTCCTCAAAAGATATTGCTCAAGCTGGGTATTTTTTCAGGAAAATTAAGTGTGTTGAGACACTCTGCCAAAAAGGTGTGCTATGTCACCTTCTTGGGGCATCAATGTAGATCATACATACATCAAAGTATATCAGAAAGCCCCCATGTGCCCCTCTGCAGCTACATGGCTGTATACCACATTAATCACATCGCAAGTCAGCCTTTATGTTTTGTTGCAGATCAATGGAGGTGACATTCCACATCTTTTGGTTTATGGACCAACTGGTGCTGGCAAAAAGACAAGAATTATGTGCATTCTTAGAGAAATGTATGGATCAGGGGTGGAGAAATTGAAGCTTGATCAGCAGTCTTTCCAGGTAAGTTTGTTTTTTAGAATAAATTTTCTATTATTTACTCAGTGCTTTTAAAATATTCTATTATAAAAAATTTAACACAATAAAAAATAAAGTGTAACACCTTAAGAAATTTTTATTCTTCAGGACTTGACTTTACAATTAAATGGATTTTTCACAAGGAAAATTGGCTACTAGTTATTTTGATAACTTCATGTGAAACTGAATTAGTTATTGTATATTTGATTAGCAAGAAGAAGCGCATACCCTTAGGTGGAAGTAGACAAATCTTTTATTGAAATGCCACTCATATATGCTAATTATTTTCTGGCATTATATTTTGCAACTTAGACAGTGACATGCTTTGACTAAATTTCTTTACAATATCAGACTCCATCAAAGAAGAAAATTGAAATCACAACAATATCAAGCAACTACCACATTGAAGTTAATCCAAGGCAAGTTTCCCCTTTATCCAGTCTTTGTTATATGAGGTGTGCGATCCCTCCACACACGCCCAAATTGTCCGAGGCGTGCAAATCATCGCAGACGCAAAACAAAGAATTTGCTAGAAAACTTTGCTTATGGAAAGATTTTTAAAGCAGCAATAAGTTTGAAGTCATCAAATTCAAAGGCAGTTCTGTCATTTTCCAAGGTGTTTTAAAGTACTTCCATACAGGATTTGACATTGGTGTCACAAAGATGTTACAACATAATTGCTTAACATAACAGGGCAATTCCATAGTTACGGACGTACAATTCAGAATGAAATTATTGATTTTATTTTTTATTTTTTTCATTTTATTTTTATGTTTTGGTCTCAGCCAATGCCTAATAATAAGATTATATCTATTTTGTGAAGAAAATGATTTTAAATATTTTGATTTTCTGAGTATTTATCAAAATGTACCTGTTACAGACGTACACAGAAATTAGTCAACAAATGAAACAGGATTTTTAACAACAAAATTTTCTGAAACTAAAGAGAACCATAATAATATTTCTTGCTGAAACAATATAAACATATATAAATAAGAAAATTACCATGTAACTTGACAAAAATTACATTAGAACAATAAATTAGTAAACATTAACACTAGTTAACTCCTGTTACAGACGTACGTTACAGATGAACACTGTGAATTTTATGTGTGAATGTACATCTGTAACACATTTTCTAGAAATATTGTTAACAATTTAGAAAAAACTTTATGTGCCATATCACATCAGTTTATTTGTAATTTCTTACTCTTGAAAAATTTATGTTTTCCATAAAAACAATTAATTTATTTCAGAATTTAAAACTGATGATATTGTACATCTGTAACAAATTTACCATATTTTCTGGTGAATAAGTCTAGCTTTCAGATCCAAAATTTTGGGTGAAAAATAGCAAGTAGACTTCTACAACAGGTATCTTTTTAAATAAATTTATATTGTACAATTTTCATCAACCTTAATCCTTAAAATTGGTACCTCAACTTATACACCAGGTCGACTTGTAAACCGGACAATACGGTTGATGGAACTCAAAAACTATCAAGTCAAAAAACATTACAAAATGTCTGGAATTTTTTCAAAAGTATATCGTTGTCTTTGATCAAAGTTTGGTTGTTCAAGTTTAGCTTTAATCTGATTCTTTTCAACCCAGCACTTGTCTTTTGGAATAAACACAAATTTGTTGGATTCTCCACATCGACGCATATTTATTACTTTATGGAGATCAGCTTCATTATCGATTTCTATTACCTGGGCGATGTAATTTTTTCTTGAATTTCGTTCGGATTCATATTGCACAACAACAAAATCACCAGTAGTAATAGAGCAATTTTCACCAGGCTGGGATTGCTCTTCATCTTTACATTCTGGTGAGGAATCTGCAAAATCATCAACTGAATCATCATCAGAACTTTCTGAGTCTGAAACATCCAGAAATACATGGGCTTGAAACTCTTTTGCAGTAGAAACTTCAGCAACCAATACAGTTGAATCACCTCTGCAAGATACTGTGTGAACAGATCGTGTTCCAATGATCCTTAAAACTTGATCCCAATATGGCTGAATTTCCTTTGCTCTCAATTGGACTGTCTCCGCTGAGACAAAGTGAAACTTCACATTAGGGTTTCTTTCTACAGCAAGCTGGTAAAAGTCATATGGTTTAGATGCTCGAGCATTACCACTGCGAACAGCACGCCAAACTGAACGCTTTACCGTTCCGCCAATGCCATCAATCACGCCCTTGCCATGTGAGGTTGCAAAAAAATGCCAGTTGACTTTTATTCCAAATGTAGACTCCCATTTAGAAAGATTGGAAAAAAGATATCTTTGCTTAAACTGTGTACTTGTGCCATCTGAAAAAATATCTATGGTTTCAATATCCAGGTGCCTTCCAGTAAAATCCTCCAACAAAGTGGTGATGAATGTCCAAACTTGATCCTTTGTATGATTCACATCATCTGTGACAATGATATGGCTTTCTCCTGAGACTTGGGTCCTCCAAAAATAAGCGGTAAAGAGGCCAGCTTGATTGTGCGTCCAATGTGCCGATTGAGGCTCGTCTTGATCTCTAAGCAATGCATTCTCTGAAAAGTCAACATGCAAGACACACGATTTTCCATCAACATTACTTTTCTTTTTTTCGAAAAACGTTTTCTGCTGTCGCTTGATATAAACATGTATCAAGTATGCTGGAAGTTGCCTTTTAAGCTCACTGAATGCCGACTCAACTGTCTCTGAAACAGAAATCTTACTTAACTCGCTTGAGGCTCCTTGCCACTGTGGATATTTGACCAGTAGATCAGCAGATTCTCCATTTGGCTTAAACGATTCAAGGTTTTTGCTGCAATCATCACATTTTAGACTCATACAGTTCTTTGAAGTTGGGTCACAAACAAGCTCACTTGTAAACTTTGTTTGGCAGCTTGGAACATTGATATGGGGCTTCAACGCCTGAAGAAGCATTCTCATGTTTTCATGTGTAACACAAACACATACATTGTGAGGTCTGTCTTCCATTAGTTTGATGTGCTTGGGCCTGAGGGAGCAAAACTTTGATCTGCTTATCATCAGCCCAGTGGTAACAGCCAATTGATGTGCCTCACCAAGACTCATTAGCATGTATCTGCATTGCACATATTCCTTGTGTTTTTTTCCATTTGCATCTCTGGATCTGTATATAACTCTGTCCTTTCTTCCAGGGGCTTGCCAACTGATGTCATCATTACTGTAAAAAGCAATTGCAGCAGCATCAATCTCTGTGTTTTCTTTTGGCCCTGGTTTTTTGCTTTTGCTTGGAGGGCTCCCTGTGAAAGAAATGCCAGCATCTTCAGCAAGTTTTGCCAATACAGCTTTTCGTTTTCTTGGTGACTCTGGCAATTTGCTTTTCACCTTTTTTACTGCTTTTCCAAAAGACTGACGGTTTGCAAAAAGAGCTGGTTGTTCTTCTGCAACGTGTGCTGTTGCAAGCATTTTTAGCTTTGCTCGATATTTTCTTATTCTTTTTGCTTCTTCATTTTTCACTTCTTGATACCTTTCTGGGTTATTTGTCTTCAATGCTGCTCTTTTGTCTGCCTTTCTTTTTCTATCCTTTTCTTTTTCTTGTTTCCATTTATCTACATTCAGTTCTTTTAATCGTTTTCTGTGTTCTCTTACTCTTTCAGCTGTCGTTTTTGCCATAACTTCTCTATGTTTCTTGATTTTAACTTTCTCAGCTATCTTGTTCTTATTTTAAATTTGTTAGGCCTTCTGAATAACATTCTCCAAAAATTTAGGCCCAAACCTTGATAGTTGCCATGGCAACAAAACAACTAACTAATTAGTGCCCAGGCCTTTCTGTGATGAATACTTCTAGTTACAGCTTTATAAATGTTACAGACGTACGTTACAGACGTACAAAAAAAATGTACGTCTGTAACAGCATTTAAAAGTAAAATAAAAATGTTTTCTTTAAAACTTTAGATGTTGTATTGTTAACTGAATTAAAATCCAGAAGTTTAGAAACAATCAATAACATCCAGCAATTAGGTAAAGAAATATTTTTAAAAAAATGACAATTTTGTTACAGACGTACAACAGTTTTTAGGCCATCTTTATGTTTCAAATATAAAAATACAAATGAAAATATTTTTTGAATTTATTAAGAGTTTGTTAATCTGTTCAATTTATATTACCAGAGCAACATAACATTTCTTGTCAAACAAACAATGCTTCAAAAAATTTTAATTGTCTTTCTGATATTTATTCGTGTTGAAGCTGCACTCAAAAATAGTTTCAAAAAAACATGGAAAAATAAATGAAAAAACAAGCTAACAGAATATTGAATTTACCTGTTTGAATTATTTAATATCTTAGCTATTTGTTATTTTCATTTTTTCCCTTAAATCAAGAACTTTAAAAATTAATGTTTTTAAAAATTTTGGTTGACATAATTCTGGAATTCCCCAACAGTTATTTAACCAAGGGGGTGCCAAGTGGGTACCAAGTGGGTGCCAAGGGGGAAATATCTCCAATCAACATCTGGTGCTTTATTAACCTTCAAAATCCGGTAATTAAAGTTTCGATCCAAGATTTTTCTTCACTGTTCATCTGATTATTCTGTTCTTTGGTGATCATGGCGAAAGGAAACAAAGTAGAGATGGCGACATTTATTGGTTGGGGAAAATACAGATTTATCGGACGACTACGAATGCCATATGCAACACAAATTTTCTCCTTGAAAGCAGCATTTTATAGTTCTTGACAACAGGAAAGAAAAAAATGACAGATAAAAAAGTGGTCCAGATCACAAAAAATAGTGAATTTTAGATGTATACTAAGTTGGTATTTTTTCTCATTTGTTTCTTTATTCTAATTCTTGAATTTTTGTCTTGGTCAAGTTTGACGAGGTGGCAGAATGAATTTTCAGAGCATCTCCTTTAAAAAATAGATGTAGCAACAATAATTTTGGAAACTTTTGTTGTGGCTTTTTATCAGATAAGAGCTTTAAACAAATATTTTATCAGATAAGAGTTATCTCTATGAATATTTTGTATTTACTATTCTACAGCTCTTTGATTGCAGAAGGATACCTTTAGCGTAGTTAATCTCGCATCCGTAGTTAATCTCGTAGTTAACCTCGTTAATATCCTTTGTCTTTACAGTGATGTAGGAATTTATGACCGAGTTGTTATTCAAGAGCTCATAAAAACTGCAGCACAAATGAACCAGTTAGATTCAAGCTCCCAGAAATCATTTAAAGGTTTGCCATACAAATAATTTTATAGCAAAGTACTGTTCAGCTATTGAAGGCAAGATGCCCCACATAACAAATGTTCTTCCATCATTAAAAAGATAGTCAAATGTGACAACTTTTTATGACATCCCATGAAACATTTGCAGATGTTGTGAATACATAGGAACTTTCGAATTCATAGTCACTTTATCATTTTATCAATTTTATAATTATAATTATCAACTGTAGCGAGGCTTTATAATAATTATAATATTGATAGTTTTTTGGATGTGTGTCTAACCATTAGTAGTTTTACTATTAGCAATATTTTTATTATTCTGCTATTGGAGTAAAACTTTGACTAACCCAGAGCTACTTCCGTTTTAATTTTTAGTTTTGTCTTGATTGATCTTTTCTTTACTACTACAATTGTAATAGAAAGGCAGTTGCTACCTCTGTCATTGGCTAAGCCTTTTTGGAGACTAACATTGTAATATATTTTTTTAAACTGGCCATTTTCCCCATTACCTTTGCAAGTTTACGTGAAAATCAAAGTTCCAAACCTTAGTGATTAATGTGTTGATTTCTCATCATTAAATGCAGACAAATATTTTGACACTTACAGTTAACTGCAACCACTCCTCTCTTTCATGATTGTAGTTGTTGTTTTAATGGAGGTTGATCGCCTTACAAAAGATGCCCAACATGCATTGAGACGAACAATGGAGAAATATGTTGCTACCTGCAGAATTATCTTATGTTGCAATTCCACCAGCAAGGTCATTCCTGCCATTCGAAGTAGATGCCTTGGTGTGAGGGTTTCTGCTCCAACAAATGAACAGGTACAACATAATATCATCAATAAGAAGTTTACTCTAATTTCTTCTTTAGCTCACATGTTATTAAATAAATTTTTAAGTTCTTTTTTGCATTTTCCAAGCTCTATACAAAGCATTTTTCTTCCAGATATGCCAAGTTCTCCAGAATATTTGCAAAAAGGAGGGGCTTGCACTACCTCCTGAGTTGGCAGCTAAAATATCTGAGAAATCCAACCGCAACTTAAGAAGAGCCATTCTGATGTGTGAAGCTTGCAGGGTGCAACAATATCCCTTCAGCCAAGACCAAGTCATTCAGGAACCAGACTGGGAAATCTACCTCCAACAAACTGCATCATTGATTATTGAGCAACAGAGTCCACAAAGGTATTGCTCATTTCAATAGCAGGGTTTCAAAGAGATCTCTCAAACATGGCGTACTATATTCAAAATGATTTTTTAGGGGGTTTGCCTTTTACCAACTGCCTTTCTATTTGGTCCATATTATTCTTTTTATGTTTTGGACATAATTGCTGGTAATATTACAAGTCACTTGTACAATAATTCCCTTCATTATTGAATTGTGCAATGATACTTTTAATTTTGAAGAGTATCCTTCTAGAAATAGCCAATATAATGGATCAGTATGCCAAAAATTTTTGTTTTTTTCTCATATATGATCATATATCTCTTCCAGGCTCCTTGAAGTGAGAAACAGACTATATGAATTGCTCATTCACTGCATACCGCCAGATATTATAGTGAAGGTTGGTAACAGTTTCAAAAAGTTCTCCTGTGCATTGCCTTTTTAAACCATGGATTGATATGGATAATCACAAGTGTGGTTAATCTAGAGATAAATGACTAAATGGAAAACAATACATAGCATATAAGCATGGTGGCAAGATTTTGGCATCTGGTACTAGAAATCTAGAGTATAAGTAGGGCAATTTGAAGTTGATTAGCAAGCAACAGGGCAGATACTGTTTGACTCAGTAGGTTAAAGATTGATTTAAAGAAAACCCCAGCATTGTTTATTAACAAGTTTATGTAACAGCTTTTAAGCAAGGGATGAAGGGAGTCAGGTTTTTTTAAAATAAGAAGACTGCAAAATCATGATACCACAGTTTACATAAAAAATGTGCACTATTATTCTTGTCATTCTGCATTGCTTTCAACTTCACTAAATACGATCAATAAATTGTAGGGACTGTTGAAAGAGCTAGTGAAGAACTGCGATGGAACATTGAAAACAGAAGTGACACAGATCGCGGCTTCTTATGAACACAGGCTGCAGCTTGGAACAAAAGCAATTTACCATCTGGAGGCATTTATTGCAAAGTTCATGAGTATTTATAAACGGTTTTTGGAGGAAGGAATGGCTGGAATGTACTGAAGTTTATATATTTAGTCTGATGATGTAAATAAAGCAAAATGGTAATAAATGTTTAGTTAACAAAGGATTCATGTTTTCTTTCTTTTGTTTGGTTTCTTTGTCAGGCGAAACATCTCAAAAGTGCTCTTGTAAGTATGTCAACCTACATAACAAAACTAACATGCCAAAGTTCCCTTTTGTGTTTCGAGTTGGACAAGGTCTATACTTATGGTATGTAGAATGTTGTGCATGATTTTATTTATATGCAGTAGTGTATTATGATAACAATGAAAAAAAACAGGCCAGCTCTTATAGCTTAATCGTAACATTTTGTAAACACCACATTCAGTAACATCTTGTAAACACCACTCTTTTTTTTTTAAAAATGCGTATTATCTCTTACAGTAAGTCTTGTTAATGAAATTGTGGACCAGCAAGGAGAAATCCTGGAAGTAAAAATCCCCAATCCACCTATTTTTTAACAAGGGTGGCGGGTGCTAGGAGAAATGCTTGAGACAAAAATTTATAGAACGTGATTACCGATGGGGGATGTAAGAAATTGCAATCTGGTAAATAAAATTTAATGCATCGAGAGGAGTTTTGGGATAGAGGTTTTGGTTTTGGAATAGAGGAATAGAGGAATTGGAGTAGAGGTTTTTGAGGCAAAAAAGTTTCAATTAGACGGCGTGGGATTTTTTCGGACCAAAAGTAGACCAAAATTTTAACATCAGTTATCGTAATTAAGGGTTCTGAAGGACAGAAATCGATTTCGGTGTTTCAAGGCTGCAGAATCTTAGCGTAAGTATTTCATACGTCCACATTAAAACCAGGAATCTCACCATTCAGTATTGATCTTCTGAAAACCAGCATATGGGAGAATGGGATTAGGAAAATCAAGCCGGGCATTTATAGATCCATTGAATGAAGATAGAAGGCTAACATACATTCCACTAGGATTAAATGCCATTTGGGATTCGATAAAGGCAGGAAAGTCTCAGCAATCATGTTTCTTCATCTGAGTTTCTCAATAAGAGAGCCTGATATCATTATGTCCATGAGATTATTTTATTTGTTTGTAAAAGAAACGAAGTCCAATTTCTTGCTCCATACTGTCTATAAGACTTTCGAAAGCTATGGTGGAGCAGCACCGTTAATAACTTCGAACATGTGGATGCAAATGTTCATTGCGCTAATGGAGTGGCAGCCCGATGACTTCTATGAACAAAGTACACGTTTTTTATCATGAGAAACTAGTTTGTAAGAAATTAGTACCAGGATGGCAAAAAATTTATAAAAAAATTTAGTACTAGGCTCAAGAAAAATTGATGAACTGTAAAATTTCAATCTTTAAAAAGAGTTTTATATTTTTTATTTTGTTGATTTATTTGGCAAAGATAGCATACTGTAAATTTTTTAACAAGATTGCGTCAATATCCTTCCGATAATGCTCCGCTTCAAAACAAAAAGGCAATTTTAAGTCCTGAAAATAAGAGGCCAACTAAGAAACTTTGGTTCTAAAACCCCAAATTTTGGATGCCAAATTAAGAAAATTCTAGCACTAGGTGCTGATCCAAGTTTCTTATTAAAAACATGCATTTTAGCGCGTCCTCCTGTCAGAGCTAAATATCAGATGAGCAAATCGCTTTTGCAGCTTCAAGAGCGTGTCACTTTTACCACTCCAACAATGTACTTAAAGTTGAATAATTGGATTTTGTTGCAGATCAAAGAAATATTCGTCTGCAGGCCGTGATCAACATTATATATAATGTTTAATTTACTGTGGTTTTGAATGAGGTAAGTTTAGTAATACCGTAAATATTTTTGTATATAAAGTACATTCATTCTTCAACTGTCATTTTTGCAAACAATTATATGTACCATTTATAAAGAGATGTCTAATCTGAAACGTACATGCAAGCATTTTTTTGAAGCTATCTTTCTTTGGAGCCATTATATCAAATATCCACATCTTAATGTGTCAGCTAATTTAGCCTGCGTCATTGGCATACAAGAGTATTCAATTTGAAGACAATCATTTATACATTGAATGAATAGCAATGAGCCAAGCCAAGACTATTGTGGAACACCTACTACTCAGTGGCGTACCAAGGGCTGTAATAGTGGAGGGGGGGGGGAGTCTGGGCACAGCCCCTAGAAATTTTCTTTTTGACTACGCCTTTCAAACACTCGCAAATGCGGGGAAACGCCCTTTTTGCAAATTTGTCCCCATTATTTGATTCATTTTAGCTACGGTGAATAGCAAAGCATTTAACAATTGTTATTGACACAAGCATAAAGTATACTACACCCCCCCCAATAAGTTTTACATCGTTTTTGGATAAAAACCTCGAGGACCATATTTTAGAAAAGTAGGGGGTCCGGACCACTTCATTCCTTGGGTACGCCACTGCTACTACTATAATTTCCACTGTTCGAATTATTTGGTTTAAGATATGAAATTTAATCAGAAAAGAAATTTTAACGATTTTAACACCCCGCGCGTTCATCTATAATTTTGAACCCCCCCCCCCCTGTTTATCAGTTCTCCAAACCCGAAAACCCGAAAAACATAGTTATAAAAATTGAACAGGAAATTATTCTACAACAAAATTCAAAGTTGCAAGATTGATGAGCAAGCACGACAGAACCATAGAAACTTTGACACGGAGATGCCGAAAATTTATACTGTGGTATTTTGCTCAAAGTTTTGGCACCCTCCAATTTTAGCACTTGTTTGTTCGGCACCAGCCAGAAATGCTTAAGGCTACCCAGGGAAGGCTACCCATACCTCTACATGCCCCATAGAGTTAGGAATATATGCCCCCACCTTCGCTTCTATATCACGTGAAAATCACCGTTAGCCTCGTTTTGATGGAAAAGGAAGCAAAGCATTGAAGCAAAGCAGAAGTTGTGGCAGCTATCACAATTCTTCGAGAAGGCAGCGTGGAAAAATCTTTCAAAAAGCAAGATGCCAAAGGTGCTGGTAGAAAATATTAAATTTCATAACTTAATGTTTCATAAAAATTTCATAAGTTAGTGTCTCTATTGGTGAATGTTTCGTTACTGGTTCCGCGAGGTCACAGAGCTGTCGTCCATAATTGTAAATTGGTTTTTTCTTTGTTTATGTCAAGAAAATGAATTTTTCAAAAACTTTATTTAAAATCAGTTGCATCCTAGATAATCATGCTGTCAACAACGTTATTGAAAATATATATTTCGATTCAACAAAACAGTCCACCTTGCAGTATAAATAACACAGCAAGAAAACAAATTAATAATTTACCAATTCATGAGGCATGCTCATTGTTTTTTCAGTACGAGTTTGAAGTGGCAATGACGTGTGGGGGTTGTTCGGGAGCTGTGGAAAGAGTCCTCAAGAAGAAAGAAGGTAAATTGTTATGATAGAGTCAGCCGTTTCCTATCCCAAAAAGTTCTGACAGGTTGCATTAGATTTCTGTGCACTGTAAAGGCAGAATGCCTATGGTGGAACTTCGTTTCAATAATCAGAACTATCTTTAAACACTATCAAAAGCAAAATAAACAATAAGGGTCACATGAAGGCTGGCAAAACAGCTAGCCAAAAATTTTCCAATCACCCCACTTTAAGTATAGCAGGAATTTAGAAATCTTTTTAGAACTGGAAATATGTTAATCAAACACACTAGATAGAGCTGCCTTAAGTTTTTTAAAAGCATAGTTTTAAAATCATTTTCTTATGTGAAAGATGGCAGTTCAAATATATGGAGTAATGATTGACCAATGATGAGCAAACAAAAGGAAATTATAATGACTAATTTGAGTAGTGCGGTTGATTAAATTTAGTTTATTTTTGTCTAGACAGATTGAAAGAAATTGTAACTGCCAACCAATGAACTCACTTGAATTTTTGTTAGTTTAATCATATAACTATTATGTATAGTTCTGTTTTATTTTTAGGATATAACTTTTAGGCATTGTTTGTTACCTTTAAGAAGCAAGAAAATACTCTGGATTATGTACTATGGGGTTTTTTGTCCAGTAATTAGACTTTCATTTGACTCTCTCCTGTTGTTAATCATTTGTTGCAGTTCCATATTATATATTGCCATGTTGCAAATTCCTGACTAAAATCTTTCTAGAAAATGATATTTTTGACAGCATCATTACCACTGGCTTGTTTACAAAGTATGTAACTCCTAAAATCTCAAATGAATGTTTGAAAAACATATTTCAAGTTTTAACTGTTAATTATGCTTTAGAACAATATTGTGTTGCATTGATTTTGGAGTTTTAGATTTTATCTGGGTTTCAATTCGTAATGTGGTAATTGTGAATTTCTGCTAATTGTGACCTGTTTTTTGTTTCAGGTGTGAGTAATTTTGAAATCAGCTTGGAGAAACAAAGAGTGTGGGTTGAAAGTGATCTCCCATCTGATGATATTTTAGCAACCATTTCAAAGACAGGGAAGAAAACATCATATATTGGAACAGCTTGAATTGGTTAAAAGTGAACTTATCAAGGACAAGTATAATGCTTGACTAAAAATATGAGTTCAAGAATGGAAAATAATGAGATTAGATTTAAGAGTAGTGTTTTATTTTGCATAGCCTGATAAAATTATTGAAAATGATCACTTTTTAAAAGTTCAGCAAGAGGAACTCTAAATTTTTAAACCTTAGAGAAGTTTTTACACTGCTGATGCATATCAATGTGAGAGGGGGAAAAATAAATTTCCAAGTAAAATTGTATTTCGGTTTAACTCCCCCCCATCATAATCTGTTATAACATATGTAGTAAATAACAAGCCTTGTCAATGTACAATTTTTTGGTAATCATAAACTGATTTAATGGTACAGAAATGCAACGAGACTTCAAACTGAAGATAGAACTAAACAAAAAAAAGTTCTTTGAAAAAGTCTGATTGCAGGCTCTAAAAAATGAAACAAACAATCCGAAATATGTGGCCATTATCATTTGGATGCAAGTTGCTTGTATTTGAAAATGACAAGCAGACATGTTTGGAAGCATGCAATGATATATTTCAAATCCTGTTGTTGCAAAAATTATATTTTGACATGGAAAAAATTTTGTGTATTCTGAAAATATCAATAAGGACAAAGTTTTGTACAGCTACTAAAAATACATAAAATTTTACCAATACCAAAAACATCTTGAAAGTGGCTTACTGTAAATTCTCTTTTAAGCCCCCTCTCAATTTAGCCCCCCCCCCTAAACAAAATTTCACTGATGCGAAAATAAGTAAACTTGAAAAAAAACAGATATTTTCATTTTATTTATTGGTCACTCAAAACTTCTAATCAAATCAAGATTCAAAGCATGTTTCCTTCAGTTTCCACGGATCCGAAGACAAATATTTAATGTGCATATGAGAGCCTTTGACCAAAATTGCAGGCTGTTGGTACTCAGAGGGGTGAAGTCGACCCTTTTGAATGCTCAATTTCAGAAGATGACATGCCCTAAGAAGATGATTTGATATTTGATGATTTGATTTTTTTTTAAATAGCATAAAATTAGTCTTCCACTGAAAATGGCTTTTTATTACAAAATATTTATTAAGCCCCCCTCTCCTATAAGCCCCTTTTTAAAGTGCTGAAAAAAATTAACCCCCTCCCCCAAGGGGACCTAAAAGAGAATTTACGTTATTTTAAATTGAATGACAATGAGCTGTATTAAACAAACCAGTTTTATTGATCTTCGATTGAAAAAAAATATTTTGGTGTTGCCATATGGAAATGGTGCCCCTCTCCATGAAAGTCACCAATGTGGAAATCACCAAACCTGTCAAAAAAGTAAGTCATGAACATGATGAAGCCAGAAATTTGAAAGGTATTTTAGTATAAAGAAAAAGATTTTATCTTGTTATTAAGCCTTGAAAAGTGCAAGTTGAGAATTAAAAATTTGCTTTCACAATGAGACTTTTGGCAATAAAGAAGTTTGAATAATTGCTAAAAAATGGTTATATTACTTTTCTTATCAAAAAATTAACTTGAACAAATGTTCCAACATCAAGATTCATCACTACCAGTTATTTAATCTCAATAATACAGCATTATCAAAATTTTGAGCACTGATCATATACAACCTGATAAAAGATATAGAGATTAAGACTTGCAGGTAAAGATGAAAATTCAAAAGTTCACTTACTTTTCTGAAAAATGAAACTTGCTGTCAACATCATCTGCTGTTGTGGTTACTGCATTGTAATCTGTATAGTTCTTTATATTGCTTGGTATTTTAAATTTGCCTAGCTGCACCTCAGTATCGGATAAACCAGCATGTGAAATCCTTGCATAGCCAAGTCTTATTAGATCTCGATAGAAAATGTATTCACACCATCGTTCAGAATCTTCATAGTCAATGTCCTTAGAAATAAAATAAATGAAATATATGCATACATACATTTAGGTAGCTGAACAGGAAAAACTTTATAATGCACCTTATGAATCCACTCCAGAGAAAGTAAATAGTTGTTGCTAAGGTGTAATTTTTGGCAAAGATGCACGATTTTGTATCTCTGTTTGTAAGCTAACTCATCTGCTTTTGTGTGGAAAGAGTTCATGACAAAATCTTTATCATAAATAAAACAAAGGTATGTTAAAAGACATATACCATGTTTTTAAGCTTCAACATATGATAGAATAATGTTGTACTTTTCACCTGGTTAAATGGTGGCAGCAAAAATGATGCTGCCCTATTCACCAAATAATACTCATGGAATATAATAATAATATTATTGGATCTCTAGTAAGCCAACCCTGGCTCACTCTGAAAAGGACTAGTTTAGTTTCTCCATGGAATTGTTTCTAAAAATGCATGGCATCAATAAAATGTGTTTTTTGCAAGGCAGTGGTACAAAGCAATGTACAAACCAGAAACAAAATAAAATAATTAGAAAACCAAATATATAGCTTGGCACAATTTAGAAGCTGGTATCTTGGCATTATTATACAAAAAGATGTTCAGGTATCATTATCAAAAATATATTACCTTTGTTCTTCCAGAATCCAACAAATGTAGATAATCTCGGCTGCCAGGTGAAGAGGTTACATAACCCAAAAATACAATTGGGTTTGCACTGAAAAAACAAAAGAATATGGTTTTCCAATTTTAGCTGATGTAATTACAAACTTTCCTTGAAAAAATAATAAAATTTAAAAACACTTTGGCTGAAAGATAATGGTGTTGATTACTCTTTAGTAATTTTATTCAGACATTGGCTTTTTTAGCTTGAGAAGAGCTGGAGAAATCACTCACCAAACATTCTGAATTTTATATCAAACATTATCCATAAATAAAGAATTGTTTCTTACCTTCCGTCCAAGATTCTAGCAAGTTGCTCAGCTTGTAGCTTACGATCCAAATCATCCCTAAAATAGAGCAATCTTCCCATTCACAACTTTGGCTTTTTCACTTTGCATAAGAAGTAGAATTTGGAAAAAAGACTGGCTTTTAGTTCTTTCAGAGAGAGAAATAGAGACTGTTGCAAGATAAATTGAAATTATTTAAACCTTATAAAGTTATCCTCTGTTTATTGAAGAAGGTGTTCAAAAGTGGAGAGTTAATGATTTGTTTTGACAACAAAGGCATTCACTTTTTGTCGTTCATCCTTTACAGATATACTAGAAGTAAAATACTTTGCATATCTAGATTTTTTACTTTTAACGCCCTGTTGTGAATTAAGAAAAATCCTATATATTCCAATGTAAGCCACAAGTTTTGGACTGACACATAATGCATCATTAAAATGTGGTGGGGCTTATTTCACATAGGGGAGCTTGACAGGGGTTGTATTACTGGGGCAAGCTAAACATCAGATGTTCTAAATAGCATATTTACTTTATACCCAGACCATACATTGCTGGATAATTAACTTGATCATATTACCTGTCATTACCCATGTGGACAACAACAAAATCAACAATTTGCCCTGAGATGTTTACAGATGCCAACAGAGCTGGGGCAAGTTCACCTGCAACAAGGAAGAAAAATCAACCAACCATAATCCTAAATATTATGACAGAAATTTAATCTTAACCATCAAAAAACCTAAATGAAATCAAGATACACTACCTTCCTTTGATTTTACTCTTTTAAATCTTTTGCCTGATTACCGAAAATTCTCTTTTAAGCCCCCCTCTAAATTAAGCCCCCCTCTTCTATTAGGCTCCCTTTGCAGAAGGAAAATTTAATTAGCCCCCTCCTCTCAATTTATACTTTCTTAACAGCAAAAACAAGATGTTAAAAGATATTGAAATGATAATTTATCCCGCTCGTGTTTTTGCAGCAAACATGTCAGCTGAATGGGTCATTTCGTGAAGGTTGTCATGTACCAATCCGTAAAAACATACAATGACAATCTGGTAGGAGCGGACAGAGATGTAAATGATTATTGCATTTAGTGGTCAAAAATTGAAAATGCTGAAACTATCATTAAGGATAGTTTTAAAACAATATTGGAAGAAACCTGGGAAAGCAATAAAACCAGACTGGCATTTCGTCTATGGCTCAGATGACATTAAGGACACCTTCGCATCGAACATTTTTGAACAAATGAAAAAATCTGAGACAGATCTTCCTTTTATGTTATAGGCTAAAGTTCATTTAACCCTATAGTGCCAAATTTATTGCTAAAACAATCGTTATTCTAATGTCACTTTAGTTTCTGCTTGAATAGTTCTGTTAGAATTCACCGATCTTTGAAAAATAAAAGTGATTCATAAAAAAGAATTGAAACTGACTGTTGTATTGCTGTCTTTGTTCCAAAGAAAAAGAACTACTACAAATGGCTTGGCCAAAAATTATCCTAAACAAAAATAATTTTGCCAATAAGATTGCCATTCAGCAAGCCCCATCAAACCTTATTTTTGTTTCACTTCAAACAATTAAAATCTCTATGCGTTATTTATTGATAAAATCTTGCAGGCCCGTTTTGCAAACAGTTTGTTCTCGCAAGCACAACAATTTTCAGGGAGGGCAGGGAACATAAACAAAAGAAGTCACATTTTGATTATCTACCTCTGCAACTGAAGATAAATGCGATTTTTTCATTTCTTTTCTATCAAAAGAATCTCTGTGTTAATAAGTTTCATTCACATCTTATCGTTTTGCAGTCCTGTTATCAAAGAAAGCTCTCGCTAAAAATTTATCTTTCTGTGAGGACTTACTATGCACCTTTCAAAACATTGTTGTCAATAATTTCAGTTAGACTACATACCTCACTGAAAAATTGTTTCTGTTGAAAATAATCGTTTATTTATAAAAGAAACAAGCGAAGAATAGCTTCCTTGATATAGAGCTTAAACCGGAACATTTGAATTTAATTTTTTCTTGCAAGTACGGTTATTTTAATGTTCAGTTATAACAAATTTGTAAAAAGTTGATTAATCTTAATTGTGAAGTGATTTTGTAGTAAATCCTAACTAGATTTCCTGAGGATAGATCGAAATAAGAGCACCTACATGTCCTGCACTGGCTAAATTCACATCTACATACTGTTCCGATCTTTCAATTGCATTTTCATTGCCAACATTTATTACCAAAGTTCTATTCAGGGTGCGTTTCCATCTTTAGTTTAACTGTTAGTTTCAGTCATGAAAAGTTTCTCTAGAAATTAAGGCTTTAGCTAACAATTGCATTTCTTTTATTGCTTTGAATAGCAAATCTATTCTTCTTACCTTCCGGAGATGGCAGCAAGTAATGTTCTGATTTCACAATTGGGTATCGTGAGATGATTGCAGCACTGTTAAAAAAATAAAGGAAATTTGTGTTCAGTCTACTAAACACAAACTGAGCTAAGTCATGAAAGCATGAATTGTGCTTCTAGCAGATGCTTTCGGTAGTGGTCAAAACGACAAGCTGATGGCCCCATTAGCAAAATATATTACTATTTAATCATAAGGGACAATGTAGTTTCTTCGTAAGCAAATGAAAAAAGGCGAAATGAAATTTAGATATACTATAGAGGGTAGAACTGGCCTTTTCTATACTAGAGGAGCATTGACATTTTTGCTTGGTATGTCCATTTAAAGTGTGTTGGGGGCTGCATATTCATACCCTTTTTCATGCTATTGGAAGTTCGAGTCGTAATACTTGGAAACAGTTACACCAATCCACCTCTTCTGGAGAACAACCACGAGATTGTTTGGTCCTTATGACAAAATTCTTTGGAGCAAAGAATGATGAATGCCTCTTGGATGTTCGATAGGGAGCCAAAATTTAATCACCATGCTAAAGCCGGCGCAAAAATAAACACTGTGAGCAAAATATGCACGTGAATTAAGTGCAAATGAATAAAATGTTTGAAGGCAACCAAGTCAACAAGTATTGCTTGTACTGTGGAATCTTACCCCCACGTATGATCCTTAGTCCGTGGCCCATAATCGGCGTAAAATCCAAGCTTTTCTTCAACATATGAAACAAAATCGGTTGATCCAACATACGGCCTGGAACAATCGCTTTCCAATATTCCGATCACATCGGCCTCTGTGGATTTGCATACAAACAGAATAACAAGCGACAATTAGAAAATAATGTTTTTCATTGGCAGCGAACTTCTGCATTTTAGAGAAAGATTTCCCTAGGGATGGGTTTTGAATTCTCGAGAGATTTCTCAAAAGAACCTACATAGTTGACAAAATTAGGAATTGGGATTTGAAAACCCATGGGAGTTTGCAGTGTTTTGTTTACGTTAAATATAACATCAAAATAGAAAATTTTTGTTCCTATGAAGAGTTATGAATATCTGTGTGTCTTTACCTGTATCCATCATAAGTTGAACTGATTCCTTGAAACTATGCCAACCCTTGTTGTCGTATCCAAAATGGACTGTCCAGATCATGGAAGTGAAAACCTTCGGGTCTTTGACTGCAAGCTATCGAATGAGTAAGAATTTCCCATCAAAATTCATACTCAAATAGATATATATCTCGCAATAGTGTTAGCATGATATAGTTTTTAATGCAAGTTAAACGTACAAATGCTGGTGTTTGTAGTTGTTTATCTGGTAAAACTCGAGCAAATAAAATCAGAATAAATGATGCTTGGAATCTAAAAGGGGGTTCAACATTCATTTAAAATGCTGAAGTGAAATTGTTATGCCGAAAGGAGTGAAAGAATAGGATTGATTATATTTGGTCACACCTTTGCCTTTTGCCTGTTCTTCTCTCTCAGGGAGTACCTTCCGAACATGAAAATTACGCCAATAAGAAGGAGTAAATAAAGTGCTGCAAAAAATACAAAAAAACATTCAGGAGAGAATAACTTAACACAAAACGTTAGAAAATTATAACATAAATGCTGAAGGCAAAAATCTATTTCTAGTCACCTTCATTAGAAAAAGAAACAGGTGTTTCACTAAAAATTGCAAAGATTCGCATGATTTTCTTCAAAAAACGTCAATATTTAAAAATCTGCATCTTTCAGCATGCCCATTTTCCTACTGCACAGAAAAATATTTATTGCATCCTCTAATCATATCAATAAAATCTACCTGGGATAACACTTTCTCTAAAGAATGTTTCATTCTTCCGTTTACTAGAATCTCCTTGTAAAACTCTTGTATCCTTAACTTCTTGGTGACTTGAATCTTCAATTTTATCTTCGACTTTTACTGCAGCTGCAAAGCCTATAGTCAATTTGATAGTAAGTGTCAAGCGTGGATTGGACACACATAATCAAAATCATCCACAACCATTCAAAGGTGATATAAAATGAACAACAACAAATTTTTGGCAGTACAAAATTTGAAAATTACTTTGAAGAAAGCAAACATTTTACGGCATATTGAAAGCTTTTTTGTCTGACACTCCTAGAGTATAAAACGTCAGAATTAGGTTCCGAATAAACAAGATGGAAAATAAAACAAAACAATTATTCGATTAGAAAGACAGAAAAAATACCCTATACAATAGAGTAAACATACAGAAAAGGAGATGCCTTACCCATTAAAAGCATGGCGATTATCATGATAGTATCGTTTCGCTCTCTGGCAAAAGTACCACCAGGAACAAAGTTATAGGCAACCACCCAAACAGAGGCGAGCAGAAAAATGATACAAATCAGAAGGCCTAGTGTCAAGACCTTTCCTTTGGAGCATTTGCTTGCTGTGTTCGCCAGCAATGGAAATATGGACATGACGTATACGGCTAGGCCCAGTCCACTGAAAAAGGCGATGAATGAAGAGGCATGGAAGAATAGCAGGGCAGATAGACATCCAAAGATCCACCAAGCAGAGGAGCGAATGAAGTCTTGTGTTGATAATGTAAGTCCAATGACCAGAGCTGTCAGGACAAACGCTCTGAAACAAAGAAACGTGGGAGATAATGGAGAAAAATGACTACAATCACAAATATCAACTTATTTGTTACAAAGAAATATGATTATGTAACTTTAGCAAACTTTAGGCCCCGAGCACAGGCAAGCGAACATTTTTAACCCACAAACATTTTTTTTCAAATTAAAATTTTTCGCGTCAACGAGTAACGTATTCAAGGCCCTGTCCCCCTCCTATAGTTGGGCTTTAATACCAAAGACAAATCAAGCAAAACTGAGGTAATAAAATAACAAGAGGTCAGAGTTGCTAGCTATACAGCACACTTTTTTAAAAAAAATCAACTTAGAATTCAGAAAAAGTGATGAAATCTTAAAGGCTACAGAAATAACTGACAAATTGTGACAATCAGTGAAGCAAAACCACTTGTTGAAAGAAGAGTTTGTTTATGCAAACGATTGCCTCGCGGATGTTCTTGCAAAATTGAAACCAATGGGTGCCATTTCAAAGTTTTGAATCTAATTGGCATAAAGATTTTCTTCTTTACCTTCAGCTGATCAAAAAAATTACCTTCATCTGAACAAGGCCTGCTTAACGTTGTTGATAAAACATTCATAAAAAAACATTAACTTTAAATTCGTTTAATATCTTGCGACTTGAAATAAAGAAAAATAGCCAAAGAACTCGAGACATACCCGCCAGGAACTGGCAAGATACTAAGCGATGGGAAAGCTGTTCCTGTGTATCTTGAAACGATTGAGACTTCAGCAAAAAGCCACTGCGCCATGAAGAACCAAGCACCTAAACCACAACCAACAGTAACCCAAGTTGAAACTGGCATCACTGGACGTGCTTCATTTCCGTCATCAGTCTCTTCCTCTTTAAGAGACATTATCACCTTCGATCTATCAATGACACAGGCCAATGCGAGCAGAAATATCATGGTATTTGAACCAGTAGAGGTCCACAGAGGATTGAGAGTGACGTAGGCAATGCGCAGAACCAGCTTCAAAATAAAACCGATGACCATGCCTCCGAATGCCAGCTCCCTGACAATCAGATGAGACCCAATTTAGAAATTAATCGATAAAACGATTAAAACAACTATTTATGCAACACGATGACATAGGTATGAACAATTTTGCCCAGGTCTTAATAACAGCAACAAGCATTGTCTTGTTCTACCTTCTTGAAATGCAGCCTTCCATAGACATCACTATGACATCCTTCCCTTATCAAACTGGAAAACATCTTTTCGGCAACCCCTTGTGGTTTAAAGGCTAGGGGCCATGACGCATAACAGAGACTGTCAAAAACTGAAAATACTTCTCATCCAAGAAAAGCTTTGAACCATATAATGGCATTTTAGTGACCAGTCAAGCAAACAATTAGGATAAATGTTGAGTGCTTGATCCAGGCTGGTAGATTCAGGGGCGTAGCGTTGGGGGGGTGTGGCGGAGGTGTAAACCCCACAACTTTCAGAGAACTCGTCGGTAGAATAAAATTTATAACAAAATATTAATGTAACAAAAGAATTTCTGTCGGTAAAATATGGTTTTGCATCTCTTACACCCACCCCCCCCCCAGCAAGAATGATCATGCGACGCCACTGGGTAGATTTCTTCCAAGATAATGGTTTATGGGGATAAGGGTAGTCAAGGCAGTGGCACGTGGAGAACTCACATTGAGATACATAGATAGGCAGTTGGTTACTTGAAGTGGACTTTAATGCCACACCCATATGATGTGACAGATTTTAGTAAACAATTTTTTGATGCTACAAAATTGAGAGTGGCTCTAGAAAAAGCAAATAAATTAACAAATATTTCAAGCTTTTCGACCGACACACTTAAGAGTTTAAAACAAGAGAATGATGATTGGAAATCTATAAAATATATATACCCATCAATGGTTTGAAATAGGCCAATAACAGTGCTGCGTGCATATAGAAAATATTGCCAGTAGAATCCAAGGGTATAAACTAACTCAATATATCTTCACAATAGCAGTTTGCTTCAATTCTATGTTGGCGAATTCTCAAACTGCTATTTATCGCTAATGTTTTACTTTAGGAAATTTGCATAATTCTTTTAGCATCTTGTTAGCAGGTTTGTCAAATTTTTAATTCAAGTGTAAAACTATGTACTTTTGAGCAACAAAATAGAATTCCAGAAATTAAATCCAATGGCCTAGTAAGTAAATACTGAATGCGAATCATTTATATGCTTTCACAAAACAAAGTTTGTCACCTGTTTTATTAATAGTGAAGGACTGAAAAGGTGTTCTTACTTGTAAGGTTTGGACCTCATCCACCAAATTCCACACAACCACAGCATGGCAAAAAAATTAGCAAAGGATGTCACCAACAACCTTGATATTGCTGAAGGTGCCTGATAGCAAAGCAGACCTCCAACTGTCAAAAACTGCATTGCTATTAGCCCAAGCTTGCTGCAGATTAGTTTGTCAACAAATGGAATCAAAGTAAACACTGGTGAAAGTAATAAGAGAGCAAAAGCCTCATAGCCAGATATTTCTAACATGTTCAGAGGGAAGAACCAAATTGTTGGAGGTAAGCTGAAAAAGGTTGACCACCATACATATCCTGAAACAAAGAAAAAAATGTTATAAAGTGCCCAATAATATCAAATTTTTGTACCAGTTTGCTAACTGCAACACAACCAGAAACTCCATAGAACAGTTTAGCTATGTTGTTTCAAATGATCAAGGAGCTACAAGATTCGGAAAAAAATGTCTAAAGCTCTTGGAAGAAAGAACTGAAACCATCAAAGATCATAGCATTGACTAAAACTTTCAGCAGTAACCACTAGAAATTAACAAAAGATAGTTCAACAAAAAAAAGAAAAAATTTTTCAACAAGAATCTGTATACTTTCAATGAATAATATTTCAATCTGACATATGTGGGCACACTTTCTCTTGTAACATATAATTCCTAATAAATCACTTTAACAGAGCTGTGTTGTAATGGATTGAAGCATTCAGTAATTGTACAAAGGGTGAAATTTTAGATTTCGTGTGGATGAGCATGGGGAAAGATACATATGGAGCATCAAAAAGGGTTGAACTACAGAAAATCAGCAAAAGGTGTTACCCAGCACTGCTTCTTGAACAAGGTGTCTCCACTTGCTTCTTTCATCAAACAAACCTTCATCCTTTTTCAAGTATTCTGCATTTTCCTTTTTCCAATCTGTGCTGGCTAAATCATCAACATCATCACTTGGCTTTCCTCTTTTCCTTAGTGACGTCATTATTCAGAGGATTCCTTTTAAAAGAAAATGTTTAAATTGACCTTTTAAAAGCAATTAAAAAACCATAGCAACACACTGCAACACAAGGCCTTCACATTCAAAATTTTATGCAAGTTGTCAATTGCAAACGGCAAGATATGTTGCATATATGATAGGCATTTCAAATACTAAAGTAGCCATTTCCAAGCACACAAGGCTGTAACATTCAGGGGTGCAAATTAGGGGACTGTCCCCCAATATTTTCTAGACAGTCTGTCCCAGACTTAACTATAATAATAAAAAGATTGGTCCATCCCACAGTTCTTGGACCTGGTGCAGTGGCTGAGAAGCCATGTTTGAGGGATTTTACAGTGTAAAAATCACAAAGAGTGACAGGCAATTGAAGGTAGTTTTAAACATGTTGTGCATTTTTTGATGATTGATGTATTCCTTGTTTCATCAACAGCAAAGCTTGTAGATTTTCAGTAGTCTTTGTTAATTTAAATGAACAATTTTTACTCCTAAAGCACCCAGTGAATGTATTTAATAAAAGAAGAGCAAGGGCTTTTTCTCCAAATTGATAAGAAAAACACTGATAGAATAAAAGTTGAACAGCATCCCTGTTATTTTAAATTATTCTATTACAGTTTAAGAACGACAAAAATTTCTGAATATTATTTCTGACCATGCCCATCATGCTTGAGACACACCCATTAGTTTGCAGTGATAATTTTCATAAAACATATTGAGTGCACACTTTCCATACTGAGGAAGAGATTAGTGAAAAGAATAAAATAGTTTGGTTTCAAAAATCAGGATTGTCCAAAATTTATGCAAATAAAAAATTCGCTCACCCACTGTCCAGATTGGAATCTTTGAAAGATGCGCGGGGGATGTTTCATGTCCATTAAAATTGCGCATTTGCAAATAGCACAGATAAATGTTTTGTGTGGCTGAGACTAATTACCATAAAAATACAGTATGTAACATTTGGTTATACATTTCAGAAAAAACAGCTGCATTAATTATTGCGGCTGGATGAATCGTTTCAATAGAAAATGCGTGGCTGCAACTGCTGCTGCGCAAAGCAAAAATTCCATCCTGGCCCACTGTCAGTGAATGAGAATGCTGATGACACACAAAAATTATTTTGATTTTGATGGGGCCCCATATGCCAGGTTGAAATATTAGTTAAACTTTATTCTTAAATTGTTGGTTCTTCGAATTAGAAAATGTATATTCATATCATTTGGATTGTCCTTCTGAGCATAAATCGTTCCTTACCTAACATATCATTTCTTTTGCCTCTTGCATAAGGCATACACAGGGACTCTGATGAAGGGGGGGCATGGCTCGCAATTTTTTACAAAACAATACAGCATTTTAAGCAACTTTTGTTATGATTGTTAGCGTATATTCATATCTTTGGAATGTCCTTCTGAGCATTAATTGTTACTTACCTATCACATCATTTCTTTTGCGTCTTGCATAAGGCATATGCAGGAACTCTGATGAAGGGGGGCCATGGCCCCCAATTTTTCGCAAAGCAATAAAGCTTTTTAAGAACCTTTTGTTATGATTGTTAAAATCTCCGTTGCCCCCCTCTTTCCAGCCTGCATCTGAGCCCTTGATACTGACTTACTTTAGATAAAGATATGAATACTTTTTCCTATAGCACTATTCATCGAGGGATGCGTGGTTTGCTTTTATGAGATGGCAACCAAACAAGTGAAATATACTACTTACCAGAAAGCTTCTTCTTTGCAGCCTGAAGATCGAATGAAATTTGGTAATAAAAAAGCTTAGTTGAATGATACACGGGATTTTAAAACTTGAAAATCTTCCCTAAACCGTTACTACCACCTTCCAATGACCCCTACAGCAGATACAGCAGACATTCTATCTTCCCGCTTCCAAACAAGAATCTTAAGCCTCTTGGTCTCCTGTGGGCTCTCCTCCGTTGGACTCATCGTCCTCCGCGACACCTAGAGAACAACCCCCACGTCCCCTTTTCACGTGCGATAAAACAACAACAATATTAGATTTTTTCTGATAAAGACCTGTATGCCAGGATGGAATATATTTTTACAGTTAATTTACCTTAAAATTTGATTCCCCAACATTGAAAGATTCACAGAATCCGGCGGACAGCCTATCCAGCGAATCTTCCTTCCTAAATATTCCAACTAAAGTGTTTCTTGCTGTACAAGGTTTTTGAATTTCTTTATGGATTTGGTTCGATGTTATGTATTAGCAAACTAAAAACTCATTTTTTCTCTTGCTGCTCAATAACTGATGATGTTCAAAAATACATAACTCATAAGCAGGAAAGACATTCTCGCGCTCGAAGCAGGAACTATTTTCTTTAAACACCCAAAAACCACGATAACAGAGCATTCCAGACAAAAAACTTGGTACGTCATTTACTTTTCATAACTGGCTTCCATTTTCATCAAAATCGTGGATTACTATCATGATAAACAATTTAACCTTTTCATCGATCTGATTGGGTCTTGATTGGGTCTTAACTTGCGAGACAAAAAGTAGATCAAAAGAGCTAAGAAGATTGCGTTAAATAAAAACAATTGCTCTGTCTATGACAAAAATATATTATCTTTGTAAGTACAAAAATAAAAACACTAAAGTGAATGTATTATGTACAATCGACCTAAAGGTATTTTCATCTTGATAACTTTGGTTTTAATTCATCAAAAACTATGTATAACCATAACTGCTAATTCTTGTACAACCATAAAATATTTACAGAAATTAACTTACACCATTATCGTACACATATCTACCGCATGCATATACCAAATATCAACATATTTATAAACTGTTGTTTCAAAACAAAAATTACATTTCTAAAAATATTTCCAGCTAGTTGTTTCGTTCTCATGAAAAATATTTTAGTAAAAGCTGTGTTTACATAAAAACGCTAGTAAGACATTCTCAGCTAATTTTGTTCCTATTCAAAGCCTTCTGTTGCCTAGGTCGATCACGTTTGCTATATCAAGTGATCATGTGATCCACAGCGAAAGGCGATCTTCAGAAGCCTCCGTAACGGATCTCAGCTAATCGCCAATGTTCTGGATGCAGATTTCTCGCATTTTAGCAACTTGTTCCACTCAAATGATGGATCCAAAACCGAACTTGAAAGCCATTTCAATAGCTGATTGTGGCACACCATCGTGAAAACAGATAAAGAATTCTTTTGATTCATCTGCTAGTCTTCTCCTGACGAAACAATAGCGATTTTTAAAATATAAGAATTTGAAAATTATGAAAGAAATGTATGAAACTGTGCAGTTGCATCTTCATCAATTTCTGTTGATAGCGAAATATTACATTTATTAAGCAACTAAATATGTACGTTGCATGTGGTACTTCATCCAAAAAACGATAATATAATAAGCGAATAAATTATTTTTGATAGTTAAAAACACGACATTTCGAGCGTGTACTCGTTTTTTTTCTAGCCACTCGATAACAAGTACGTGCTCGAAACGCCGTGTTTTTAACTACCAAAACTAATTTATTTCATTCTGGTACTCAATTTATTCGCTTACTATATCATGATTATTCAGCAACTACACTGAAAAAAGGACTTGGAAACTTGGCTTCAGCGCCATTATTGTGGCGAAGTAAAACACTAAAACCAGCAGACAGCTCAACAGAAAGTTACAAATGAAATTCAAAAATGCTTTGAAAGATTTCAGCAACTTACCCTACAACCCAGTATTTCAGGACATTCTGTGACTTTTTTAGATCACCACCTTTGAGTGGCTTTCTCCTGAACAGAAGGCCTTGCTCGTAAACTTTGTCACCGTCGTCATCATCCTGTTGACAGAAAAAAACAGTCAAAAATTAACTAAAGACAAAGAAAGAAGAATTTGAAAATAGCACGGAAATGTCGAAACATAGAAAAACAAAGTACTTTTCGTCTGACACTTCTCAGAGTATAAATTTTAAGGTAGAAAAAAAGTTATTTTCAGACGTGAGTCAAAAGCAACGTGACAGACAGAATGGCAGGTTGATTGGTTCTTAAAAATCGGCGGCCGCCAACTTCACACCTAGTCGAAGAGTCGAAGAGTCGAAGAGTCGAAGAGTCGAAGAGTCGAAGAGTCGAAGAGTCGAAGAGTCGAAGAGTTGAAGAGTCGAAGAGTCGAAGAGTTGAAGAGTCGAAGAGTCCAAGAAAAAAACGAACTTTTCGGTCTACACAAATCAGAACCCTTTGTTTTGATGCACACAGATTCCAAAACACGTGAATGAAAAGAAGACCTTCCCTACCCAATGATTCTAAAATAATTTATTAAGAAGGCAAATTATTCCCCAAATACCAAATGTAACAACCTCGCTATCGCCAATTTTCTGATTACTGTCTCGGTCGAATGCACGTCGTATTAATTCGCATGCTTTGTAGAAGTTGTCAAGTACTTCTTTGTTGATCAAGTCCGAGCAGCTGTTCGTAGGACACAAAACAATTCCCCTGGCTTTGTCACGTGATGCGTAGTAGAATAATGTGTTTGGAATACCAGCAGTAATCCTGGGATGAAAAAGAACTTAATTAACAAACGGAGGAAATAGAAAACAGTTTAACTGTCTGTTAAGAACGTGTCCATCTTTACTTAGGTATTTCACCCAAGCGTTGCTCATCAAACAAAAAACAGTTGCTTATATTAACTAGAGTATGTTATCTTACCGTGGTCTTATTTCAATTAGATTTCCTCGCAGTTGTATATGACATTAATTTTGAGATTAATACCTTATTACCACAGCAATTATAAAATGTCTTCCATTCTAGCTTTAGATCCTACTAAGAAGTGGCTGTTAAAAGGCAACACGGTTCACGATGGATGTCCCAGCTGTGTCAGAAATCGTTCTGTGTCAGTTACGAACATAGGACCTGTGGCTTGGTTTTCTATACGTGAGCAAAACAATTCATAAAGAGAAGATGCGAAAAAACTAAATATCAAAATTTGAAAACGAGAAGACAGTGTACAAAGGAATATCGAAGACAATCAACGTAAGAAAGCACTTTACAAGCAAAACCAGGCATATTATGCGGGTGACAATTCAAGCAAAATGTTTACAGGTCTGCCGGTTCTCACTATAATATGAGTAATTTTAAGAAATCTGAAACGTACTTTGTTGAGATCAATGTGTTCTCCCAGTTAGCATTTGGACTGTTCTTGAATGAGCTAGACGTAGCAGGGAAACTCGAGACACTCATGCGCATGCTACTGCTGTTGCTACCGCTGTCATCAGATAGCTTCGACTCGCTGGTGCGACTTGGAAACGGAGACGACATTTTATGTCCATTCGATCTTGGGCTTTCCTCGCCTTATTTAAAATATCAAAGAGTTAAAACAAAATTCTACTCAACTAAAAATTTAACGAGACTGGCTTGAATCGAATTGCTACTTAGGCCTGAAACTCGCTTTGAATTACATATAACTAATACTTTTCGCTCATAATATGGAGCTCCTCGCTGAAATAATAATCATAAATTAGGATAATCAAAATAATTATGACTCTGTGACAAAAATTGAAGCGAACCTAGCGTTCGAAGGCTGTCAACAGAAGGGCTGTTCTGCATCGCCATCGTCTCAAGATGAGCTGGCAACTTCCGGAGGGTGATCTCTAGATGGGAGTTGTTTTGGCTTTGACGGGAACTACTGACGTCATTCATAGAAGCCATAGCAGGCACAGCTGATCCACGCAACCTGGTTCGAAAAAATGAAACAAAACTTAGCTATCTAAGCGTTCAAAACATTTTTCAAATTGACAATTTCACTATTTAATCACTGTACACTTTCTAACCTTAAGAACCAAACCTTTATCAAAAGTAATCCGTTAGCAACCTCAAATCACCCAATTTTTAAAACAAGAAACTGATTATGCATGTTCAAAGGTATTCCCTCAGCCCATGTGATCAAAAGTAAACAACGTGAAAATATATTATTTTATGAAGTCACACGAAGATTCTATTCATAATATTACAGCCCTTAAGTTCTTAGCACACGCATCTTACAAGCATTGCATATAACAAAAAAACCATGGGGTGTCTGTTTAAACGTGGGTCTACTGAAAGACGTCAAACATTTTTGTTTGGCTCTATCTGACTTTAAACATATACCTGGAGATTATTATATAAACAAACAGCGATCTTAACATTGCCTGAAGCCAGAAAAAAATCCTGACGGGTACAACATTCTGCAATTCACAAAGGAGGGAAATATGATGCCCGTGAAGAAACAAAGGGATAGAGTAACAAATTTACAATTTAACTTACTTTGCTTCACAAATAGTTTCAAAATCGCGATTTTCCTGAATATAGGCCAAAATAGAAGTTGCCCTGTCAACATAATAAGGATGTGGTCCCGGGTTACCCTCTGGCCTGCAAAATAACAAGCAATTGAATTATGTCTGAAAAAGCGAATCAAAAAAGATCGTAACACAATGTTTGAAAATATTAAAGCAAATAAACTTGAAACAAAAGGAAACAAATATGCTTGGGTAGAAAATACCAAAAGACTAAAAAGCATGAAAGCCTGTTTATGGAATAATTATTGGCGCGAAAATAAGACAGATTATCTATAACAGAAACTTAGATGAATATTCATCAAGTTCAATTTCCAAGATCGAGAACAAACTTTGAGGAAAAAAGAACTGATTCCCGAAAGAAGAATAAAATCTTCACAGCACTCTTTTATACAGAAGTAAAAGTTAATCGAAAGATGATAAAACGCTTTTAAAACCAGATGAAATTTTTCTTCAGATGAAAACGCTACGACTCAGGTAACCTAGCCCTGATTTCAGTGGCACAAAGACAAGAATTAGCAAAGACCACATTTCAAAGGCAGCTATAGGGTTGGTTCGAATAATCTTTGTATAAATTTGTATTGAATCTAAATAGGGCGGAAAAAACAAGGGGCTACTCACGTTGAAGAAGATCCACCTGCCTCCAAAAGCATGCATAGCAAACTATGTTTCTACATAAAAACAAATGATACGATAAGTATGTTATATATAAAAACAAATAACTAATAAGTAAAGTTGATTAAGAAAAGGTAGCCAATAGATAGTCATATGCTTTGGAAAAACCTAGAGGAGTAAAAGACATACCAGTGCAACTACAAGTAAAAACCATCTTCCAAGAGGCTCTTCAAAATGGTTCTCTTTGACGACACTTTCAGCTTTTCGACGCAATGGATATACCTAATATATAAATATATAAGAAACAAAATTAATCCTTTCCATATTCATCTAATCTTAGCGGCTCTATAGCCTTTTAACATTAGAGTCATTCCATGTCAAATCACCATGGAACAAATGTCACCCACCATCTCAGATTTTGCTAATTATTGCACATTGTGTACTAACTAATAGGAATAGAACATTCTGAAAATTTCATATCACCATCTTTAGTGCTTTTTGAAATCCGTAAATGAATTTTCAAGAATTTTGAGGTAAAATTCTAAGAATACGCCATTTTGAGCCTTCATACAGAGGAAGACTACAACACTTACTTTAATACCTGAGAAGTAGATTACCGGAACATATCATATTTAACTTTTAAAATTAAATTCAGCTATGAGAAATCCAATAATGACGTCAAATTGCATGTCTGACAGACAGAATGATCTATTCCTATTAGTTAGTATGTGAAAATTAGCAAAATCTGAGATGGCGGTGACATTTTAATTTTTTCTCGGCGATTTGACATGGCCTTGGTGATTTGACATGGAATGACCCATTAACGCTTCTGAAGGATTGAGATCAAACCAACAATAAATGGTGATTCAAAAGAGCAATTGGTAAAACAAAATTTCATTTGAAAGCATAAAGGAAAAAATCTGCATTTGTGAGCTAATTTTCATCCGATCTTGAAATGAGACGCTCAAAATTTCTTAAATCTCTGTCATTAACATTGCCTTTAAGACCTCTAGTTGTAGCTTTTCTTTGTGTAGAAAACTTCTGTTGTGAATTCTAATACAAATGCCCAGTACGAAGTTCTATTACCGCCTTTGAATCCTCGACAGATCCTTAACAAAATCAGCGAAAATACATACAAAAATCATTGCAGCGATTCTATGCATCGATCATAAACTATTCAGTAGATAAAGTCACTGAAACATTCACCGAATCCACGCAAAACGAAATCGCTTGTCTAGAGCGAGCGTACCTCTTTCCAGACAATGAAACTGCTGACCCGTTGCTCTTCTGTCATTGCCAGTACACAGTGATGTTTGCAAAACACCAAACAGTCCATGAGATCTTCATCTGGCAAATGGTTGCACACAACATGACCCTGCAAATAAACAGACTCAATCACTCTACTGGAAAACACAACATTTCGTCTTAAAATAAACGCATTATTTATTTGTCATACGCCAGGTATTAGTTCTCGGTTATTTTATTGATTTTGGAAATGAAAGCTCCTTAACGTTTTTACTAAATACGTAATGCTACTTTTTAGAGGTTGTATAAGATAACATAAAATAGAATATCATAGGCATCAAGGAGCCCTCCCTTCCATCTATATACCGTAAATCCTCGAATTGGCCCCCCTCGAAAAAACCCTCCTCGAATAAGTCCCCACTCTAGAACTACAAATTGTCAAAAAGCCCCCCCCCCTCGAATAAGCCCCCACTGCTACTGTATATTCTCGAATTTGACCCCTCAATTTGACGGCTTTTGCCATCTGAGGTTGCCTATTGCGTTCTATTGAATTACCGTGACAAATTCGTACCTTTGGTAGTAATTAATTAAATGCTCATAAAGAAATTTCTACTAAAATAAACAAGATCTTTTAATAATGTCGTCTTATTGTCTACAATAGCCCCCCCCCTCGTATAAGCCCCCCTTATCTTCGAATAAGCCCTCGTCCAAAAATATCAAAATTAAATAAGCTTCCAGGGGGCTAATTCGAGGAATTTACGGTATACCAATTAAACAGGAAATTGGTGACTGGATTCATATCCAACCCCATCTTTAAAAGAAGGACTTTCCCTAGTTGAATTAAGATTGAGGATGATCAAAACTGTGGATTCTAAATTGTTATCTTTGTCCCTGCAAATCATTATTAGCAGCGAAAGATTAATCAAATATACCTTGTAGAAGAGACAAGATCCTAATATGGTGTAAAGTCTTCTATGTGGAAAGAAGTCATCAGCCTGCAACAAAGATACAACTGTCAAACACATTTTCCACAACCCACTCAATTTCACCACGTATTTCGGTTATATCGAGCAGAAGTAATAATAAACAACAAAAGCATGCGGAAAGATTGCGCTTACTCCTTCACTCGTTCTTATCAAAACAATAACAAAAACTTCAAGAAGTTGCAGACGCAATTTCAGGCACTATATAGAGGTTCCAAGTATTTGGCACTCCATCTCTAAATGTATATTATCATAAAAATGTATGAAATTGGTCCAGGGTTATTGTGCTCACTCAAGGCCATGGTCTTGAAATATCTCAAGCACCTCATTTTCACACGTGTTTCCGAAACTCTTACAAGTACATCAGAGGAGTAGATCCATAAAAAGTTTCGAAGAGTTACCAAAAGATGATTCATGATAACGAAACACTCCTCAGAGTATGAAACATCAAACACTGTCTGAGGGTTGCAGGGGAATTTATATCTGCGTACCAATTAAAAGACATGGGAAAATATAAAAAAGGCTTGTTATAAAACTCACATAGTCACCGTAATCAGCTGCTTCTGCATCACTCAAAACATTGCTGATCGAAACCTGCAAATCATATGAACATCACCAAATCACAAACAGTGAAAGAAACCAAGGCAACTCTTGATAAAGAACAATTTTTAACTTTGACTTAACAACTAGAACAGAACGCCATAGGTTTTCAAACAAAATATTATCATAGCATTGTCCATCTTGGCTTGCGAGGAGGAAAACTAATAACATTATGTCAAATATTGCGAGGAGAAAATGTCAAAATTAACACAGCGGGAAATATTCCAAGCATGTAATGGTTCTAGAAAATCTAGATAACTTAAGAGCCCTTGCATTCCGAGGGGAACCTGAGAGGGAATGAGCGTATTATCTACCCAAAATTGCCTAACCTTTGGTTTTCTAAATGTACAATTACCGCCAATTTGCTACAGTAATGATGAAAAGCTTTGTTTTCATTAGCAACTTGACCTTTCACCCAGAAATACCGTGCCTTTTAAGAAGGAACAAAGTGAAAAAACCTGTTAATTTTGACCAGCTAAGTAAAAAAATAAGATAAAACTTGAAATCAATCAAAAACACCATCTCGAAGTTCGCTTTTGAAAAGATATTGAAGTCAGTGTACACTTACATATTTTTCTGCTGGAAGTGGCAGGTACTTGACGCCGCCAAAATGATCCGCAGTTAAGTTGGAAACCTCGGATTGAGACTTGATTGGCAAACCATGCAGTAATCTCTCCATGAAAAGCAAAAAGGTATGCTGAACATCTTCCCGGAATTCAGAGAGAAATGCCCTGGAAAAGATGGCAACACGTATTTATATGAAGGGAGAATCAATTCACGAATTTTACATGACATTTTAGTAGAACAGTTGGTTTGCTGACAAAATCTACTCTATTTTGTTTTTCAAGTCAATAAGCTTGAGAACTGTAATAATGTACTTACAGCGTCTTTGGTTGGCCTATTTCGATCCACAACTGGGTATATATATTTCCTAGCGTAGAGTTTTCGGTCTGTATTCTGACGTTTTAAACTCTGAAGAGTGTCAGACGAAAAGCTCAAGTATAATCAAATGTTTGCCTTTTTTCAAAGCCTTTTGTAGTCATTTACTGTCACTGAGGTGCCCCTTATTTTTTGGATACAATTTTTTGGGATCTCGAATTCATGTAGCCTTTCACTTAGTTTTGGAATTGAGTTGAATTGTGAGTTATAAAAAATGACCTCTTTATGTTGCATCCTCCTCTTTACGGAAAATATTTCAAGGATGCCTGTGAATGTTTTACCTTTTCGCTATATTTCGCATCGTTCTGGTCTTACTACAAAAGTAAAAACCGATTACTCCAGCCGGTGACTTTGTTTATTCAAAAGGCATACCAACATAGAACTTACAGCTTTCTCCTCATTCGATAAAGAAGTTTGAATGAGCTCAAGTTCAGGCAGCTGAAGATTTTATGATTGAAGCAACGATTAGTTTTAAAACAAAATTCTTAACTAGAAGGATGCTGGAGGACAGCGAAAATTCTGAGAATAAACTATGAACGCGTATATGTGTAATTGATTATGGTTTTTAAACTCACCAAAGGCAACAAGTTACCTAAACATAACATGTCCTGTAACACATAGGATCTCATCAAATCATTGGCTCAAAACACCAGTGAAAGAAATATGAAACAAAATTAATTTGTTTGATTGGAGTGAACATGGTTCGGCACGCACCACATTCTCTTGAAAGACTGCCCCCTCGATCGAGCTCCCATTCTTGAAGATAGATCTGAAAGGTCCTCCTTAACCCACCCTTTTTTCGGAGATGGACCATACTCAATCTGCTAGGTTTACCGATAAAGAAATGAAATAAAAATCGACAATTACGCCGATAGGCGTAATATTGTCTTGATTAAATTGATAATTTAAGAACTCAAATAACAGAAATAATAACATTATATTTCATATTCCATATTTTAAAAAAAATTGAGCAGTGCTTTTTTTAAAGCAGAGAATATGCTTCGTACGTGATACAGAATCTCTTTGTATTCCTTAAACTAAGTCGAGTCATTAGTAATTTTGACAAGAGCTAGCTTCACTTGGCTCTAAAATATCCTTGGCTCCAGGGGGTTAACCATGGACACCCACTACTGACCTTAACCTGCCCCAAGGACCCCCAGTTCCAGTGCCATAGATAGGTACTGAAAAAATTCTAGCGCCATTTCTCAGAACTCAATAAAAACCTTGAAAAACTTTTGAAGCCATTCAAATCCCTTACTTCGACCCCTGAACCCTGAAATTTGGTCTCTAACAGTTGAAAAACCAAAACTCTTACTGTTCGGCTGAATGATATAAATATTCGATTTGACGCATAAGTTCGCGCACGTTCTGTTCCAGCCTCAGCAAACTGCACCTGAAATAAAAAACGTATAAACGATTATAATCTGTTTAAATAAAAAAAAGACAGCACGAATAAAACATAGAGAATGTTTCAAACCACATGGAGCACCCAGCGATTCGAGAAGAACTCAGAAGGTTTGTTCATTGTTGCATTCGAAAAAAACAGTTCATTGAACAAATCTCTGTGATGCTGAATGCAGGTTTTTTAGTGATATCTTTATTCAGTTGAAATTGCCACGAAACTCGCAGTTAAGCCTTAATGAGAAGAGGAGCCACGTGCATAGTTAGCGAAAAATGAAGATAATGTGATCCTTTCTCTTTTCGCGGTGATCAGTCAGGCGCCGTTGCTCATTGAAAATCCGCAGTATAGCTCAAAATTATTATAAATTATGCAAGAAACTGCGACATAAATAAAAAAGGCGTCTTTTATCTCAAGCAAGCTGCTGATAAGTATAGCGAAATTAACTATGGATTTGGGAGTGAATTTATTTCGCTAAGAATTCATGCTATCCTGTCTTTATTTGATTCAAGCAAAAACGAGAGCTTTAAAGGTCACAAAACAGCGTGATCGTAGGGTGTGGCCATCTTCTATTTTAAACCTAACGCCGATGTCTTTACGTTGGTCAGTTTTTTGTGTTTGACAATTTCTCTCAGGTTTTTGTCTAGAAGTATTCAAAAGTTAGTCCACTTTCGGCTTAAACTTGCTCATACCCTGAAGTCAAGAATAACCAGGGCCTCCTGTTGATCGTTTTTCTGGATTTCTGAAGTTCCCCCTTTTTTTAACCCCCTTGTGTGATCGACAAAAACGTTCCTTGTAATCACTTTCAAAAAAAGAGTTGCTGCTAAGTTTTGTTTCCAAGCGAATGGATTGAAAAATTGCACAAGTACATATTTTCAAACATCCGTTGTACAACATGCCAAATTTCATCTTTCATTCGATCAATAAATTTAGCCCTCAGACACCTTTCTCAGAAAAAAGGAAGCATGAAACGATTGGCCTATTTATCGAATGAAAATGATGATAATGATAATAAGAATCGCAATTATATTAAAAAGTGATGTACTTGATATCTGGAACAGCAATGACCAAGACGTTTTCACCAATTTTATGGTAACAAGCATGAATAATCTGTTCCTTGATTAGAAGGGTCGTGCTGAAATGAAAATATTACACAGAACGTTAGGCTATCTATACCGGAAAGTTGGCAGAATACAGTGAGCAATGGACACCTTTTGGCTGAGAGTGACTTTCGTGTCCGTTCTCGATAGGTGTCCGTTGTAGGGAACTGTCTGTTTAATGGAGGTGTGTCCGTTGTAGGGAACTGTGTCTGTTGTAGGGAGGTGTGTTTGTTGTAGGGAGGTATGTCTATTGTAGGGAGGTGTGTCTGTTGAAGAAAGGTAGCCATTGGAGGGTATATATGTTTCAATGAGGTGTCCGTTGGATGGAGGGATCCGCTGCATAGAGGGGTTCGTTGGAGAGAGGTATCTGCTGTAAGGGGGTGTCCATTGTTATAGCTATTGTATTTTTTTATAATTCACTGCTTAATCTACTCGCTTAAACCTAGAGATAATTCTAGCTTATTCGAAAAATCCATTTGATAAACTTCAAAGCGAAAACATTATCCGGGCCTGAAAAAAAAAACTTTGAGGTTACTGTTCATTCAATCTGATGAAGTTCGAGTTGATGTGTTTCATATTTCAGTTGTTAAATGTTTCTACAGAAAAGGACTTTCCTGTCGCTTTGTATCCTCACCTTTTTACTTCTGTTCCAGTGACACTTGGCATCAGGTCTGCCAAAGTCAAAAATATACCTCTTATGTCTTTAAATTTTTTTGAGTATTTGCTTTCCGGATACCAGAACAAGATGTCCTGAAATGTAAGATTCAAGAATACATTTAAGTTCATAAAAATTCTTCATTTAGATAGAACAATGTTCGTTGCTATAAGAAGAGAAAAAGAGTACTCTTCTCTGAAGCCCTCTTCTCTGAAGCCCTGAAGCAAAACTGGCTAGTTATCCTATAACTACAAATCTGATTGCTTTCACTTATTACAAAAACTATCGACAGTTCATTCTCCTGCTGTTTTGAGAGATTATCAAAGGGCCTAAATGACTCGGTAGAAGTACCGAAGGCCCTTATCGGATGGGAAATCTCAGCCCATTTTGTCATTTGTGAACCATTTCCTCTAAAATCAAACTTACTATCTTTGATTAACGGGAAGACCCGGCATCAGGATCTCAACTTCTTTAGCTGCACTTCTTGGACTTTTCATGTAATAGATCAAGTCTGACTGCCTACTTATCTGGGATCATTCGATAAGGCTCTAAGAAATATATATTACTATCAAACATGAAAGATTTATGTCAAAAAACTCAGACAATACCAAATTATAAAACATGAGATCAAATAAAAAGAGTTTTCCTGACAAAAAACTAACTCACTTTAATGAAAAGATTAAACTGAGCAGAGACTCACCCCCAGAGGGTCCTTTTCGTCCGCATCCAAAGTAAGGTACATGACAGCACAATACTCTTGGAAGGCTGCTAGGTCATCCTCGTTTTCAATATTTGCAGTGAGCAAATCGATTATTTTGCTTTTGATCTTTGGTTTGGCCGGGGTGGCCACGATTTTCTCTATTGTCAAAACTGCCTGAAGAACAGAGGAAAGACTTTTTGCAACAAAGTTGACGTACGTACATCAACAACAGCAATCAATTCAAAATTGCTAAAAGCGCATTGCACAAATAATAAAATAAAATTCTTAACTGCTCTAGTTCATTTTATTTCACGATTCAATTACTTCATACTTCGATGTGATAACATTGCCTTGCTTTCCACATTTTTGCTGCTGGACTTTTCAGTAGCTCAGAAAAGATATGAACGTTCTTTAGGTGCGTCACAAGATATAAACAAATTTGTAAAATGCCTTCGGTTTGCAAAACAAAATCTGTTCATTTAAGAGATAAAAATACAGTTCTCCTAAAAAGTAGAGGACTAAAAAAACCATTCCGTTTAGTGAAAAGACAGTATGCATCTTTGGTCAGCCCTACAAAAATCTGATTTTAAAAGATATTAGACCGGAAAGTGTCTTAGTTTGGCGTAGATACAAATTAATTGGATTCCTTGACCCTTGTTGTGTGGACCTTAATTTGAAACTGTTCTACACAAATGCCGAATTTAGGTTTTTAATCGCTTTATGTTTCAATACAAAACAAAATATGACTGTGTTACTGGATTTTTATTTTGATATTTTCTAAGTTCTTTGGTAGGGCGTTTCTATCGGCCTTTTCTAACTGTATGTTATTATAGACTATCAAAAATTATAAATTTGCTACAAAAGGATGACTATAAAAAAACTGATAAAAACTGTCAATATCGGGTGGTTAGCGACCTCAAGTGCAAACCCTTTGCTATTTGTCAATCGAAGTTTACGGGGTATCAAAGTGGGGTTACACAAAAAATTTGAATTGACTTATTAATCTAGCCTAAAGAAAGCTTTGTTCGCTTCACTGGACAATCATCACTAGAAGAGCTCTCGCGTGGGGCTTATTGAGTGCTGCAGTAACCAAAATAATGCTTTATTGCAACACTGAATCGGCTGTTCGCATTTTCGCTTTTACCTCGTTAGGCCATCGCATTTTCGACAACACATAGTTTATATTTCTCTGGTTGACTTCCATGCCATTCACTGCAAGCAGTGTATCACCTAGGACGAAAAAAATGTTTATCAATGAAGAGGTAGAAACAATAAGATCATGAAGTTGGGTATAAGCCTATCACGACACAACGCTAAATGTCATTAGAATGGACAAAATCAATGCTAAAGCCATAAAATGAACTGAGTTATTGATGCTTTTTCAAGACACAAATTTACAAATGAGTCCAGGATTAAAATCTTTTCGTCAAAGTTCAATATCATTTCTTTATAGAAAAGTGTTAGGAAATGAGCGAATCGGGTATTTAGGGGGGGGGGGGTGTGGGTACTCAATTGTGCCAAAGATTTTTCTAGTTCTGAATATATTTTGGATTTTAACTTTTAAGTCGAAGGACTTTTCAGTTGGCGAAAACATTAATAAAAAATTTCCAGAAACAATGAAACAACCAACCATGTCAAACAAAATGAAATTATTATTTGAAAATACCGAGGCTACAATTACAAACCGATATCGATGTCTTGATTGGCATCTGCTGGACTGGACTGACTGATCCCTTGAATCGCAATCGCGTTTAGTCTGCGGGGAAACGCGGTATCATGATTTCCATTTGCGTCTGGCAACGGAAGCACTGGATCTAGATCAAGGCCAGATATAATGCCAATCAGATCTTCCAAAAGGCTGCTATTCGAGTCAGGCGTTTGAGCAATTCCCTTCTCCACCTTGATAACGGTCGTTTTCCGCTCAGTTTCGTAGTCGAACAACTGCTCTCTGTTTTCAAAAGGACTATTTTCATTGTCTCCATACCCCATGGCGTCCTTACCCTTGCCATAACGACTTTCATCTTCTTTCTCTTTTTTAGCAAAGGTCGTGCTTCGCTTCAAGGCTCCTTTTATTCGCCCGAATCCTCGCAAAAACGCCCTAGGTTCGTCTTTTTTGCCAGGATGTGCGCTGGCTTTCGAAGTAGAGTCTTTGCCCTCCTTCTCTGCGTGCTGGTGTTGTTGCGGCTCGTAATACGGCTCTAGGTAGAACAGACTGCCGTCAGCTTGGATGTAAGGTGACCAGCGAGCATCTCGGATCGATCCGTCTTCACTGCAAACAAAATATACGTTTTAAATATTCGCTGCAAATCGATGGTGAATTTAAGGCTAAACCCAACCTGGCAAATTGTGACTTTGTAAAGGTTTTAACGTGTAAAGGTTTTGAATTTGCCTTTCGCGTCATCTTCTAGAGCGAAGTTATGCTAACAAAATTACCATCAAGCTTTAGGTCTTTTCCTACATGTCTACGCTCAAAGAACCTGGTACCTTTGAACATGTAAAACGGTTTATCTTTTTCACCCACTTACATCGATCAGCAGAAATAAGGAAAATCCCATAATTACAGGACTTCAAAAGTACTGCAATTAAAAATGACTAAGATTAAGAAGTGTGAAACCACATTTGACGTGGGGCAAGTCAACCCATGAAAACCTCGTAAACCTTTGTTGGAAATCATTTTGCTTTACCTGAAAATCCTTAGAAATCCTTATGTTTTGAAAGAGTTAATTGCCCCTGGTCTTCTGTTTCTTACGATGGCAATCTTGCGTGACGATCAACCTTCAACCCCCCGTTCTGGCAGACCTCAGATTACCTCAGGGAGTTGTAATATGAGCAGCAACGTTGTAGACCAGTGTTAAAGAAGCTGCTTATTTGCTGTGAATACTAGCCCATTGAAAGCGTATTAATAAAGCTAACAGTTCAAGAGCCCGTTCACAAAGGCCTTTCTTAGAGAGCCCATTGAGAACTACCTAGGACCATTTTGCCCCTATAGCGTTCTCCTTGATTTCTGTTTTAAAAGCTTTTTGTAAAACTAAACAACACCACAGGACTCAAATTTTTATTCCTTCGTATACCAAGACGCTTCATTGGATTAATTTGCAGGTAATGATGCTGCATGATGTGTACAATCCTTATTTATGCTGATGAAAATTGTGACACCCACTGACATTAAAACAAATGGTTCTAGTGCATAACATGATTCCATACCTGAAACACATTGTGGCTTACTCTCATATTAAGAATGGAGCATAAGAATAAGAGAGGCAGGGCTGGCAAAACCTTTCTGAAGTACTCATTCAAAAGACTGCAAAACTTCACATCAGAGACAGATTTAACTATTATTGAAAAGCACATCTTGATTCTTTGAATACAAAGCAATGGAACACCAATTTCAGCAATTTGTTCATTTATCCATAACAAGCAATAAATCAGTGTAATTTTTGTCTCTATACAGCTATTACAAGAAGAAGCAAACGTTAAGCTGGGTCTGATGCCATTAAATCAACTTACAACCAAATAATAAACCTTGCTTTAATGTCTTGATACAAGTTGTCAAAAAGTGATAAATCACGTAAGTAGCCTGTGTTACTGTAAATCCAAATAGCAACATTGTGAATGAATCAAGATCATTAAGTTTTATTAAATTAACTGATTCGCTCATCATATTGTCAAAAAGTGACTTCATATTGGCATATTGAATATGATTTGCTATCATAAGTGCTAAAGAGTGGCTGTGTTAAATATTATCAATGGGAAACATAATAATGGTTATAAAACCGGGCACTGTAAAATTCCTAACGCAACTAACAATCCTTTGAGAAGCATGTGAAGGAGAAGTCAGAGAAGAGAGGACAAATTTGGAATAACAAATAACAGATTTATCTGACTACATGTTGGATTCCAAAAATCTAAAGCTTCATCGATACTTGACTCAAATGAATAACCAAACAAGAAAATTATAAGAACAGAAAAATAAGAAAAGCTTGCTCAGACAACAAATGTTTGCAAATAAAAGGCTTTTGCTTTTTGTAGTTAGCAATGAACACCAAGGTGCATCTTTATTACCAAACATTTGCTACCAATGTTTTCCAAAAAAGGGCAACAGGTAAAGGGCCTCAGAAATGTTGAATTTTTTAAGAAATAAGGAAGATAGAATTAGTTTCAGGGAAAAGAATTCCCCTTCTTCTGTGAGAAACTCAATTTCTAGTGGGAAATGGCAACTACATCAACTTCCTGTCAAAGAATTGAATTTTTATATGACACATATCTCAGAGAAGGACTGAAAACCACAAACAGGACATAATCTTGTTTCCAAATAATAGATGACATCTAAAAGATTAAATTATACAAAACACTAATTCAGAATCTAAATCTGTGAAAAGCTCCTTCAATGCTCCATTGCATTTAGGAGTTACCACTGCTCCCTAGCACTAGCAGAAATTGAGATGGGTGTCTCAGATTGGCAACAAGAGTGAAACACAAATGTAAGAAGAAGCACTATATAGCATTTGAATAACCCTAATTTTATCACTTTGGGTAAGCAAAGTGGAGTAAGGATTGCTATATCAATGTCTCTATAAATTGAGGTGTGTGCTTTGCATGGGATCAAGTGGCTATATCCTTGAAGTTTGAAATTTGAAATCTGCTGTATTGACAATATGATGTGATATTGTGTTTATTTCTTATGTGCTTTGGTATAGTGAATAGTCGATATAAATTCTTAAAGATAAATAGCATTTAAGAAGACCAGCTCTTAACATTAGGTGTATGGATGGCCCAGTGGTTAGGGCTGCAGATTATCGATCCAAGGTTTTAGGGTTTCAGTCCCTGCCATTACCATACTTTTTCGCTGAAGGGAATCACTAGCTCTTTATAACACAATCACAAGAATCATGAGGTGTGGTCACATCAAGAGGAAGAAAAGGACACTTTTGATTATCACAGCTTCACAGTGTCTTTAGCTAGGTAGCAACATAAAAAAACTCAAGAGCTTCTTGCTAATCTACCCAAAAAGCTTGGCTTCAATTTAATTCTTAAGTCTCTGCAAATAAACACTGCTGGACACTTAAAGATTACCAGCCTCACATTACTTAGACAGCGGTTTTTGAAAAGAGTTTGCAACTCTGTCATTATAATTATAAATGTTCAGAATTTGATCATGTATTTAGTTAGTTGCATAGATGTAGTACTCGAAAAAGATTTCTAGCAACTTTGCAGATTTCTGGCTGGATTTTTTTCTGTTTCTGGAAACAGACCTAGAATAAATTTTCTAGCTGCTGTGGATCATTCGAATGGAATTACAGGCCAGAAAAATCCATTGAACGAAACAAACTGCATCATATTTTCTTTACCAAGAAATTTTGTCAGCAACATTTTCGATTGAGCAGTGATCGTAGCAAATAGCGAAAACGAGATGGATTGATCTTTGTTCCCATGATCCTGACCCCTGCCTGTCAGCAAATATTCTATTAATTCTCTGTGTCCATGGACTGGTGAAACAAGCTTAGGCCTTATCCTCCTATCGCCATTACAAAACCAATCCAAAAGTAGCGAGCGGTTAATTCAAGAGTGAATTATTACATGCAAATGATGAGATATACTTATGGTCTGATTTATAGTGCACTTACTCCCAGTATTCACTTTCGTAAGACGAGCAGGTTGAGCAAAAGCTGGATCGGTTGCTCGGATGTCTTGCTCCACCGCCTGCAACACCAGGAGGATATGCGTATTTCCCATCAAAATCTTGCCACTCGTTTACATCTTCCTGTAAATTATCTTGCACGCGGATCATAATTTCTGTTTTGTGACAATCCGTTTTAATAACCGCGCGATGGGACTGCAGAGAGAGCGAGTTCTTCAAGGCGGTGTAGTCCGGCGAATCTCACAGGCAGCCATTATGATATATGAGGTTCATAATGACCTGATCAGCATAAAACAACCAAAACAGCTTGAATCAAAGTATCACCTTCGTAGATTCGAGTCAGGGGGGAAACAGTGCACCATCGATCAGATTTACCTCTACAATAACGTTTCTTTATAAGAACACAATTTTTAAGACCATAGAAGCTCGATTTGTCACAAAAATAAAACAACGTAGAAACATTCCCAGCCTCAATTAGAAAGTTAAAAAAGAACAATGGCTTTTAAAAATTTTCTCTCGGGTTTATAACATCAGGAGGAGACGCATATTTCCCATCGAAATCTTGCCACTCATGTAGATCTTTCTGTAAATCATCTTGCACGCGGATCATAATTCCTGTTTTGTGATATTCAGTTTTATAAACCGTGCTACTTAAAAATGTCACGGAAAATCGTCATTTTTGTGGTTTCGGGAGCATGTAGTTGTAGCAAAATTAATGTTGGGATAAGGGACGCGAACAACACTCATACCTCAAATTATTCGGAAAAATTGAACATCAGCCTCATCTAAACCCAAAAAATGGCAAGATAAGATGAATTTTTGTCAAGGGGTATTCGCATACCTTTGATTTCCTTGACAAAATCCCCAGACACAGACAAGTGTTCTTTCTATACAGGCCGTGTCCCTGCCCCTTCCAAAAGGTAATCTCCAAAAAGCTTAAAGCATGTCTCGGCCAAATTTTGGTTTATGATCATGTGTGATTAATAGTGTTGTAATCATTTCATTTGAACTATGCTACATATTCACTTTGTGCTCAGTTTTTAAGTATCTTATTTTTTATTGAAAGTCTCCCTTCTAAAGCGGCAAATGACATGGATAATTCAATAAAAACTCCATTGGCGAAATATGCCAGACGTTCAGATTTATTTGGCTGTACCCAAAGATGAAAGAAGATGAGCTTTAGCTTTGACAACCATTTCTTAAATAGATCTTATAGACTGATCAATAGAAATTCTTTGTTAATTTACTGGAAAATTTTTGAAACCTTTTGGGTTAATACTGTTTCTGCTTCTACCTTATTTCATTTCTAGGCTTTTGTATTATTGCTACTATTATTGACAGGCTGTGATAATGGAGAATGTGATAATGGCTGAATTATTATTTATAAACTTTATTAAGCGAGTCATCCTTGACGGGCACCTAAAAGCCATGGGCCCCCGGGTCAGTGACTTCCCTGACCCCCTTTCTCCTCAGCACTGGATATGGTAAAGTTGATTTTGAATGAGAAAGCAAATGGTCCTAGATTCGAATGCCATTGCATATGTCAAATAATTCTACCTTCTGTTGGTTTTAATTTTCACGTTTGATCACTATGACATCGAAACATTTACCGTTAGGTTATTTCCCTGGAT